TGCAATCTGGAATCCAATCTGTAATGCTGCCAATCTGCGCTCCAATCTGCAATCTGGTAATCCGTCCCGTGGACGGGCAAATATGAAATAATACAAACAACAATTTATCCCGAATATTTGTGCAGGCCGTCGCAATACCGCGCGCTGCTGTGTCAGCTGCTAGCGCCGGTGGTTACCCCATGTCCTGTGACAGTCGTGGCCCAACTGTTCTGGCTCAATGTAGTGGTCCAGGGGGGCATAAAACCTGTGATAGCATTCATCCGTCTCGGCCCACAGTGCCTCTTCGTCAGCGAGCTGCCCCCAATGGGCTGCGAAGGCCGTTGCCATTGCCTTGCGCAACTTTGAAGGATATTATTTGAGGGGGGCGGTCCTCCAGCCGCCCTGGCCGTCTCGTCCGTAAGCCTTGTCGTGTCCGTTATGTCGGCACAGCTGCCCCCCAGGTACTGCCCCAAGCTCTTGTGTGAGTTCGCTGAGGTGCACCGCCATCAGACACGTTGGCTTTCGCGCGGCCTGCCCAAACTGGCACTGGTCGATGTAGTGTAGTTCGACGTTCGTCTGCTCCAACAGCCAAAGCGTCTCCGCTCGCTGCCAGCTGCTCGGCGCGCGAGGACACCGGGTAGCTGGGGCAGGATGCTCGAGTACAGCGGGTACATTGTACTGCAAGCCAGTGGTGATGAGTAGTAAGGCTGTCCTGCACAGCTCGCTGGCCAGTGCTAGCTGCTGGAGTTCCGTTTGATTGGCTGCTTGTATGCCCCAGGGGAAGTCGTGCGTGCGTAGCGGGCGTGGAGTTTTTCCGTCGGCGGCGCGCCAGCGCGATGAGCACCGCGTCTCGCAAGGGGGGCCAGCTACGATGCCGAAGATTTTGCCCTGTCGCATCGCCGCGCACCAAAACTCAACGACGTCTGGCTTCGTCAGGTCGCCTTTGTCGGGGTCAATCTGCACGTCGATTGATAATACTACCAAATTGCATTCCCGAATGTTCATCTCGAAGTGGCGCTGGAAATCCTCCACTCGGCGTCTTCCTAAAAAATGGTGCAGCAAGAACATAGCAGTAGTAACCGTGGGCCTGCTCGGTGCGAATGCCCTTGCTGATGGCGCCTCCGCTTGAGGGGCCGCTGCTGCGGGCGGCGCCGGCGAGAGCTGGAGCTGATGTTGTTCGACGTGGTCGTCGAGCTTGATGCGTATGACCTGTTGCACAGGCACCAACGCCTTAGTAGCTCCATGACCCATTGCCTTCCTCGTCGCCACCGCCTCTCGTTCTTCATCTCGACGTTCGGCTGCCTCCTGCAAATCCATTGGAACTTCAATTGCTTGGAGTACAGCCAGGCACCTGGGACACCTTCTCAGGTGCTTGAGCATGCGCGATCGCGTGATGAAGTCCTTCCCGCACCCAGGGCAAGTTGTCGAGCGGGCGAGCAATTCGGGGAGGTCGTAGCCGATGTGCTCCATGGTGCGGTGGCGCTTCCATGCTCCCCGTGTTTTTAGGACCTTGCCACACTCATAGCATATGTAACCATTGTGTTGTGCAGGTGGCCGTCCATCGAAGTTGGGCGTGGTCAGTCCAAAGTCTTGCGCGAGCCGATGCAACTGCCTTTGCCAGATCCGATGTCGATATATGTCGTGCTGCCAGGCCTTGTACCTAAGCCATGCACGCGTAATCATGGCTTGTGCGGCGTGCTCTTGCTGTTGTCGTAACCATCGTACAAGGCCCCTGATGTCGCTGCCCATGTCCTCGTCGTCGAGTAGGAATCTTTTTATCCAATCCAGGTCCTCGACGATAAGTACATTCCAGGCTTTACTGTCCTCTCAGAGTTCTTCGATGAGACGGTGAAGACAAGGCGTGTCCGCATGCGCCATTCTGACCAGGTACATCAGGCGTCGTCGACGCAGATACATGTGGATCGGGACTTCATCGCATAGCAAGTAGATTTCGTCGTCCAAGGTGTGTACGTGCGCCGCACCGTGCCGCTGTTGCCGCGCGGCAGCTCGAAGACTCGCCATGTGTCTGCTCTGCAGCATATGCTTCTGTTGTACTGTCAGCGGCCCCCATACTTCGCAGTCGTAGGTAAGCTTGCTCTGCGCCAGGGCCGTGAGGTACAGCATCTTGGCTTCGAGGTCGATGTGCGGCAGTCGGAAGATGGACTTCTTCAAAGGCCCCTCTGCAGATCGGTGGTCGATGATGCGTCTCATAAGGTTCGGCCCCTCACTGCCGTCACTTGCCACATTATTGTCCAATGTGAGTCCCTGGGTCGTAACTTCAGCTGCGGTGGCATCAATGCTGGTCAGCAGTTGGCAGTCCTCGCGGTGCAGTGTGACGGGGTTGGTCTGGAAAATCTTCGCCTTGATATGCTGTTTGGTGCGTCCGTCGATATGCAGTAGAGCTCTGGTCTTCTTGGGGTGTAGGTCGCGCCCGAAGATCGTGAGTCCCCTCGCAATGATGGACAATATATCAAAGATGCTGCTCTCGATTGTTGTATTGTCCCTGAGTATGCACAGGAATGTCGCATCGCCCATGAAGGATACTTCTGGCAGGGTCCCTTCGTGATCTCGGAGTTGGCCTGTAGTGGTAATGGCTTGATCTCCCACTGGTGGCAGCTGCAATGAGTACCCCCGAGTGCAGCTCCTGCTCCAGCGGGCCCAGGGCGTGCGCGAAGCTGATGTTGAAAATGAGGTCGGCAAGGCCGTTGCCTGGGCGTGTGCCCTTGCGGCTCTCTGCGCATAGCTCGTCTCCACGTACTTGGAAGAATGTCATGTCGTGTGCCTCTTCCAGCTGGAAGCGAAGGTTCTCATCTACGTCGTTGAGCGCTAGGTAGCCTGGTGCTGAGATCAACTGCTGGATGGCAGGCATGAGCCATTCAGTTGGGTCGCCTCCTGCCATCACCTTATGAAGCCAAGGCTTCTCACCCTCCCGCCCCAGCACGAACTCGCGGATGACGGAGTAGAAGGCCTGTCGGAGGTCCAACAGGATGCCGACGGCGCTGAGACGCATGCGCTTGCAGGTCCCGAAGAACGCTTTGATGGTGTGGGTGCAGTACGCGCCTGACTTCTTCGGGATTCCGCCATGCTGAGTGACTCTCAGTAGGCAGCTGCAGACCCTCAACGTCGTTGAGCGGAGCCACTTGTGGTAGTGCTTGGCCACTGTCGTTGAGGAGGATCGACCTGTAGTACTCCAGTAGGGCCCTCGTGCCGCTGCCCTTATGAAGCTTCACTGCGATACCTGCCTTGAATTGGATTGGTTCGCGGCCTCGCAAGATCGTCTTCAGGACGACAGGATACCAGTGGCGGGCCGTCTCCTCGGGCGCGAGTTTGAGGATGTCGTCGAGGTTGCCGTCGGGTCCTCCTGCTCGACCCTTCTTGCCGTCCGCGAAGCTCTCCACCAGGTAGATGAGTGTCATGAGCAGGTGCTGCGAGACCTCGTCGGGTGGTGATCTGTGAGTACGGCTGCAATTGTAGCGGTCCGTGAAATCGTACTTGTCCCTGATGTCTGCTGACTCAATCTTAGCGAAGTGCTGCAACGTGGCACGGCTGATCTCGCTCTGGCTGCCCATGATGGTACCGTCGGGCTGCTGCATGGTGGGTAGCGCACTGTCGTATTTTGGTTTGCGGCCGCCGTGGATCAGAATCTTCTTGGTCAGCTGCCATTCGGTCCTGGCGCCCCTTGCTGTTCTACTGTCCGCCAATTTGTTACCAAGGTCGTGGAAGTACTGGTTGCGGTCGGTACTCAGCTGGTGCCTGAATGTGTCCCTAGTGTGGGCGATGAAGAGCCTTGCGGCGTCGTGCGCAATGCCGAGGCAGCCGGTGGTGCGGCTGAGCTGGCAGGCGCCCGCAAGGGCTGCAACCGAGTTAAACCAACTGTCTTCAACGCGGGCGTAGACCGACGCCTCGTAGCAGAGCCTCTTGCGAAACACTTCTAGTGGTGCTGGGTCCCCACTGTTCGTGTAGGTCCGCGTGGAGCTCTCAGCATATCTGCGCAGTCGCAATAATCGCATGCTGGCCTCTGAAAGTGTGGCGCTGCAAGGTGTACGCGGGTCCCGTCCGAAATACTGCTTCGTCTTCTCGGCAATGAGCCCCGCCGTCTCGTGGTAATGTTCATTGACGTCGGCCTTCCATGGTGGTAACCTGGTGCTGTTCAGGTCCTGCTTGAAGGCGGTGATGCACTCACTGCTGCCCCTCCTCCTGTTCCTGCTCCTGCCCCGCGCTCCCACGTCCCTCCCCCCCTCCCTGAGTGCTCGTTTTGGGGAACCCCCTTTGCGGCTTACGTACCTGTTCTGTTTGATTCTAGTTTGGCTCAAGTTCGAGTCTAATTCAATTCAAGTTCGATTCAAGGCGACGGACGCTGAACGCAGCATCGACGCTTGAGTGGAGCGAGTGGCTCCAAGGAGATCCCGAGAGCGAGCATCTAACCACTCCCGCCCGCACTTGTTCCACTGCCCGCTTCGCGTGGAGCGCTGCAAGCGCGACCCGCCAGCGCGAAGGGCGCGCCTCGGGCCTCGTTTGCCTCGCGTCCTGCCTTGCACGACCCGTCGTCCCACACACTTGGGCGTCGCGTACAGTGGAGGCCCATGCCAAGAAGCACCCTGCTTGCCTCCAGGGTGCCCTGGGTTTCTTGGGTTTCGATTGTCTTGCCATGGAAAGCGTGACGTTCCCACACCGAGGATCGATGGACGTCCTGGGGTCTCAGGGTTGAGTTTCTGGTGGAAGGTTTCTTGTGGAGTGGCCTCCACTGTAATAGATGGGCGGTAAATGAGGGGTGGCAGCGAGGGTTGCAGAAAGGGGGCCCTTTAGGGCCCTGAAAGGGGCAAAGGGCCCTTGAAAGTTTAGAGAGCCCAAAGTAGGCCTTTATTATGGCCCGAGAAGTGCACATTTCTCCCCCCCAGTTATACCCCCCCCCTCACGCGACGCCCAACACACATTCTCCTCTCGCCTGTCGCAGAGTGCCATTCTGGAGCGCAGCGGGGTGCCGGCCGCTTCATGGGCACAGCGCCCGCGGTGCTTGCGAGCGCCCCCCGCCCCGAGGAGCCCTGGCGGCGCAGGCTGCGGAACGGGTTGCCAGAGAAGGCAGCCTCCGACAACTACGAGATATCGGATAAGGCTGCTTGAGATCTGGGCGTTGCTTTGTTTTCGCATCGGGCGTGTTCGTGAGTATCGTTTAACCGATCCCCATCCCCATCCCCATCCGCTTCGAGACCCCACCAAATTACCCCCCAAGTTTGGGATACGCTTCTCGAAACCCGAAGGAAACGGCCTGCATCCCCGTCCAGGGGGGTAAATCGGCCAGTGGGGCCCAGGTCACGCCGCCGGGGATGGGGGTCGGGTAAACGATGCTCAACTTATGTTTTCACATCGGGCGTGTTCACCCGGCTCTGGGCCCCCGGGGCCATCACAGATCGATCCGGCTCGACAACTGCCGCAGACAGGTGGGGTCCGAGGGTCAATAGGGCTCCGGTCGCGATTCGCCATGGTGTTGCGCTTTTTTTCGTGGGGAAAGATGAGACGCAGCAATCACTCAGGAGGGAAAAAACACACAGACACAATTAATCGTCGATCCCCTAGAAAATATGGGAAAATATGGGAAGTGGGGGGGAAGACAAAAACCCAGAAAATATAAGAACATATAGGGGAATCTTATTATTCGTATGTATTTTTTCGTGTGTCCTGGGGCCCCTTCAATCACGAAGTGATGCACAACCGCTTCTCCTGGTCAGAGCGTGCCCGTGGTTCCTGATCTCGGCGGCGAGCGAGGGGGGGAAGCGAGCAGGGGGGCGGGCCTTCTCAGAAGGCTCGGGAGCCCCCCAGCCTCCCGAGAACTGTTCTCCAAGCCCTCCCCGAAGACGCAGAGCAAGAGCCCCTCGCACGGCCGAGAAGACCTTCCGAGCGTGCCTCGCCGCCCGAAGAGGCCGCCTCCTCCTCGCGTGCCCCCCCCCCCCCGCGCGCCGCCGAGGATCCCCCCGGTCGAGCCTGCCCGCCCAGCACGCGTGTGCTCAGAGGCCTCGGAAGGAGAGGATAAGACTCAGGAGGGAAAAAAACACACAGACACAATTAATCGTCGATTCCCAGGAAAATATGGGAAAATATGGGAATTGGGGGGGAAGACAAAAACCCAGAAAATATGGGAAAATATGGGGACTATTTTTATTTGTGTGTATTTATTTGTGTGTCCTAATTTCCCTTTAAGAGAGGAGGCGGCCCCCAAGCGATCGGGGGTGGGCAGAGCCCCCACCCCGACGCGTCGATGAGCAGACTGTCCGCGCTCGGTCCCGAGGGGGCGCCGCGGCCGTCATGTTTCGGGCCCGCGCCCGCCGGGCTTGGGCCCGAGGTCGTTTTCACCGAGCCACGTCTTGCCAAAGGGGGCTCTGTCCATCCCCGAGGTGATGTCCGGGCTGTGCTCGACGAGCGGCGGCGACAGCAGCGGCCGCGGACCTTTAGCCAGATCTTGGCTGAGTCCTTGCTGACTTCTCCAAGGGTTGCCGACCTTCAGCTCGGAGACCTGTGCCCAAGTAGGGCACCTGAGCCTGCATCTCCACATTGAAGTTCGCTCGCTTGACTGTTCTTGCAACATGCTCAGACATGTGCGTGTGATCTCTGCTTCTCGATGTCCTTGCAGGTGTCGATGGTGACCTTGGCAATGAGCTGTCGAGTCGTTACATCTTGATACAAATTCAGCTGGTAAAAGACGGGTGACTTGTTGCAACGTTTTGAAGCGCAAAACCAGCATTCTGGCTAAACGAGTTCCTGATCTGAGGCCCTGGACGATGCTCTGAGTTGGACACATCGAGGCTGAGTTCACCCCCGCCTGTCGTAAAGTAGGGGGGCGGCGCATTGCTGCACGTCAAATGGTAGGATGGAGTTGAGAAACCCATCTTCAGCGCCCCGCCAGTGAGCAAATCCCAAATGTCAGCGTCGCAGAAACCTTTAACGACAAGGAGTCCGTTCCCAATGGGCAAGGATAGACGATGAGCTAGCTACTCGTCCAAAACTCTGATAAAATGCTTATTTAAGCGCTGCGTTTACCGTGATCGCCGCATCCCAAGGTGGAGCATTCTGCTCCGCCCATTCGGCAACGTCAGGTTCACGACACGTCGACCACACGTCAGCGAACATAGTGAGGATGCCGATACGTCCATCACCAGTCCGTATCTTCGTGTTCCTCCATCGTGTGGTCTATGACAAGCTGACTGTGTGCCGGCCACGCGAGCATTGAGTCCATCGTCTCAAAGATCTGTCAGAGCTCCGAGAGGTCTGAGTTTGGTAACCTCCTTCCGATACCAAGCAGCATCAATCTGCCCACGCCTTGCCCAAGCCGAGGTCCCATCTTCTGAGTGGCTGTGCGAAGGTCTTGAGGAGAGGGATCCTAGAGTAATTTATCTTCTGCCGCCCGCCGAGCTTCCAATACCGCTGCTTCTAGTCGTTCCATATCTCGAACTATTGGGCGCCCACTGTCATTTACCAATGGTCGCGTTTGGTGTCCGTCATGTCCGAGGGGTTGTAGAGTTGTTTGACATATGTAATATGTTCTTGTGGTACCATAGGTGCACCACCAATATTTGCCAGGACTGTTTACCATTCATGAAAAAAGATTGAGGGAGGCCTGGATGGCGTTGTACTGAGCTTTTTTGCTTGCTTCGATCAGTACTCTTCCAAGTTTGTTCAAGTTTTGATCCGAAAAATAGTCGATAGTGAGTTCGATTGCCAGATCGATTGGGAGATCGATAGGAAGATCCGTTGTGTTGTGAGATCGATCGTGAGGTCGCTTGTGAGATCGATAGTAAGGTCGATTGTCAAATCGATTGCGAGATCGATTGTGAGGTCGATCGTGAGATCTGATGTGAGATCGATTGTGAGACCGATAGTGAGATCTGGTGTGAGATCGATGATGGGATATGTTGTAAGATCGATGGTGAGTTCGCTCGTGAGATCTATGGTGGGATCGACAGTGAGAGCGACGGTGAGATCGAGGGTGAGATCGATTCTGAGATCGATTGTGAGACCAGTAGTGAGTCCATGGTGAGATCGATTGTGAGATCGATAGTGCGATCGATAGTGAGAATTGTTGTGAGATCGATTGAATGTGAGATCGATAGTGAGATCGCTTGTGAGATCGATAGTGAGTTCGATTGTGAGATCGATTGGGAGATCGATAATGAGATTTGTTGTAAGATCGATTGAATGACACGTTGATTTCCCCTCCCCCCCCGAACCTCCACATCACCCGAAGGGTGGTCGTATAGGTCCGAGAAATCCTTCCGTGTTCTGATTCACCTTGCCAATGTATTCCAGTTGGGCTCGTTGTGGTGCTGGACCAATGCAGCCTTATTTGGTACGTCGCCGAGCAGTGCGAAGATTGACGCATTGAATTTCTGCAGCTGCTTGTCAACGTTGGTTTGCATCTTGCGTTTGGAAATGGAAGCCACCATCGTGGCTAGACGGGTCCACCTGTTCGCCACATCACCCCGGAAGAGTTGCAACCGTGAGTGTTGCGCCAGGGGAACCCCACCGACATGAAATATGTGCCTTTGTGTTCGGCTGTGCTCAGACAGGATATCACAAGTGTGGTGGGTACATTCACAGCTTCCAAGTTGATGACCCAGGCAGCGAACATGCACGTGAGGGTTGGAACATGGTTTGAGCCAAACCCGTAGCAGAGCGACGATTCAATGCGTTCTTGTATTTTGCCAATCGACTATTGGCGGGGGGTCTCTCCCGTGGGCTCATCTGAGCCGGCAGGGGATGGGGTGATACATCAAGGGAGGGAAAAAAAACGGACCCGACAGTTGGCGTTTACAAAACGGCCTTGGGCGTTTACTGAACAGCCCTGCCCTGTTTGATTCCCTCTAGGGGTTCGCGTTGACCTCTACATATAGACGCACTGTGAGACAGGGATTGGTTATTGCAGGAAGCCGTCTTCCATTGGCGGGGTGGGTTCTCCCAGGGGATTATCCGAGCTGGCAGGGGACGGGGTGATACAGACGCAGTCTGAGGCAGGGATTGATGATTACAGGAGGCCAGTCTTCCACTGGCCACGCACCGAGGCCATCCTCACATCCACAGTGTGACAGGGTATGGTCATGCAGTTCAACGTGGTATCTTTGTTTGTTTGTTGTTTCACCGAGCGCGCTCCACTACTCGCAGAGTGCCTACTCGCAAATGTCCGAAAAGCGTTGGTTTGCTTCGATGGAATATATCGTATATTCTCCGCGGTGGAATGTGGCCATTTGCGAGTAGTTACTTTGCGAGTAGTGGAACGCGCTTGTCTATTGTTGGTATCCTGAAGCGCCACGGCAGCACTTCTCAAGAGCGCGAACAGGGGAAATGTGACAGGTAGTTGTTCGCCCGCAGGAGAAGGAGCCGTTAACCCATGAGTCCGTTCAAGACACTCTCCACGGGGGTTGGCACACGAGCTGGCTTCACTGGCGGGAGGGGGGAGTCCGAGGATGAGGATGAGGAGGAAGGCCAATGGTTTATATTTTCTGTGCCCTCATCCTTCCGCACTGTTCCCTCCACTAACGCTTCATGCCCAGGTGCGCGCACAGACTGGAACCAAAGCCTTCTCCCTCCCTCCTCTCGCCTCCCTGCTTCCCCCCCACCCACCCACCCCTAAAGGGGGGGGGGGGGGGGGGGCGCCCACGAGAGGCCCAAGAGGAGCAACCCGCAGGGCCCAATGTGCCCGCAAGAGGTCCTCTAGGGAGCCTCTTAGCCGTCTTGCGGAAGTCTGGGGGTGTCCTCCTCCTCCTCCACCTCCTCCTCCTCCTCCTCCTCCTCCTCTTCCTCCTCCTCTTCCTCCTCATCCACTTCCTCCTCCTCCACCTCCTCCTCTTCCTCCTCCTCCTCTTCCTCCTCCTCCTCCTCCTCTTCCTTCCTTCTCCTCCACTTCATCCTCCTCCTCTTCCTCCTCCTACACTTCCTCCTCCTCGTCCTCCTCTTCCTCCTCCACCTCCTTCTCGTTTTCCTTCTCCTCCTCCTCCCCCTCCTCCGCCACCTCCTCATCCTCTTCCTCCTCCTCTTCCTCCACTTCCTCCTACTCCTCCTCCTCATTCTCCTCCTCCTCTTCCTCCTCCTCCTACTCCTCCTCCACGTCCTCCTCCTACTCCTCCTCAACTTCCCCCTCATCCTCCCCCTCCTCATCCTCCTTCTGCTCCATTCCGTCTCATTATAATAGTTTCTCCCTGTCGCACCCGAGGCCAGTTTTCAGGGTGTGCTGGGCGTTTCGCCTGAGAATTCCTCACCAGGTATGGCACTGAAGCTTGAAGCTTGACAGCAGCTTCACAGATGGAAGGCGGGTCGTTTTCAAAATGTGGCTCTCGCCCTAGTGCCGCGTGGTTTTCAACATGTGGTTCTCGAGTTAGCGCCGTGCACATGCTTGTTCAACTTTTAACAGGGATTCACGGATTGAGGGCGAATGGTTTTCAAAATGTTGTTCTCGCCGTAGCGTTGCGCACATGCGTTTCCAATATCTGCAAGAGTTTCACGGATTGAGGGCGGGTCGTCTTCCAAATGTGGTTCTCGCTTTAGCACCCTGCACATTCGTTTGAAAAGTCTTGCAAGATCTTGACCGATTGAGGGCGGGTCGTTTTCAAAATGTGGCTCTCGCCCCAGCGCCGTGCATATTGTTGCTCAACATTTGTAAGAGTTTCACGGATTGAGGGCGGGTCATTTTCAAAATGTGGTTTTCGCCTCAGCGCCGCGTGCACTTCTGCTGACAAATCAGAAGAGTTCCGCGGGTTCCCATGATCGACGTATTGGAAAGGGTATTTTGGAAGGACGCCAGCAGTCATGATGATTCGCGGTGTTGAAGTCTCAGGAATGGCGTTTTGGCACGAGTCCGGATCGTCAAGGCGCAACAGACAGGTTTCTCCGTGGCGTTGGAATACCGAGAACAATGTTTGGGCATGTTTCAGGGTCTTCAATCGGTTGTCGTCCAACGAGGCAGGTCCCTTTGTGAAATGAGTCGTTGTAGGGGCCTATGAAGAGAGAGCTTGGGGGGAGGGTTTCTTCCAACATCGTTGGTGCGCCGTGGATTTACATTGCTTCTCCTCCCCCTCCTCCTCCGCCTCCTCGTCCTCCTTCTCCTCGTCCTCCCCCTCCTCCTCCCCCTCCTCCTCCCCCTCCATTCCTTCTCCTCATAGATTACTCCTCCCTGTCGCGCCCCGAGGCCAGTTTTTCGGGCGGGCCCGGCGTTTCGCCTGAGACTCCCTCACCATTTAAGACACTGAAGCTCAAAACTTGACAACAGCTTCACAGATGGAGGGCGGGTCGTTTTCAAAATGTGGCTCTCGCCATAGCGCCGCCCCAATTCGTTTTCAAAATGTGCAAGCGTTTCACGGATTGAGGGCGGGTCGTTTTCAAAATGTGGTTTTCGCGTTAGCGCCGTGCACATTCGCTCTAAGAAAATTGCAAGAGCTTCACGGATTGAGGGCGGGTCGTTTTCAAAATGTGGCTCTCGTCTTAGCGTTGCGCACATGCGTTCCCAAAATTTGCAGGATCTTCACAGATTGAGGGCGGGTGGGTGGTTTTTGTTAATGTGGCTCTCGCCTTAGCGCTGGGCTCATTCGTTTTAAATGTCTTGCAAGAGCTTCACGGATTGAGGGCGAGTCGTTTTCAAAATGTGATTCTCATTTCAACGCCGCACACATTCGTTTCAATATTTGCAAGAGTTTCACGGATTCGCATGCTCAACCTACCAGAAATGGTGTTGTGGGAGGATTCAGGGCGATGCGGGCGCAACAGTTATGTTGATTCGCTGTGTTTAATTCAAAAATAACATTTTTGGGCAAGATTCTGGATCGTCAAGACGCAGCAGTCAGGTTGATACATGGCGTTGGGATCCCGAGAACAATGTTTTAGCACGCGTCAGGATATTCAAACTGTTGTCTTCCAACGAGGCAGTTCCCTCAATGAAAATGAACGGCTGTAGGGGCCTATGAAGAGGGAGCTTGGAGGGAGGGTTAACTCCAACATCGTTGATGACTCTTGGTTTTCCACTGGTCCTCATCCTCCTCCCCCTCCTCCTCCTCCTCCTCCTCCTCCTCCGCCTTGTCCTCCTCCTCCTCCTCCTCTTCCTCCTCCTCCTCATCCTCTCAGGGCTCCGACTCGGACGCGGAGGAGCCCGACCGCGACCTGAAGCCAGTGCCCGAGTGGTCGACGCATTACCTCGAGTCGATGGACTCCTCGCGCGCGGCGCCGTCGTCGTTGCATCGCTCGGACGCGTGCGCTTTCTCCTCGGCGAGGACCATCGAGGAGCATCTTGACCATCGTGCGAAAAATCAAACGCACGAAATCGAAAAATGCAGGAGGAATGGACGTCCGAGCGATAGGGAGTCGTGCGATTTCTCCTTCTCCTCATTGCCCGACGTCGTCCTCATCCTGCTTCTTCTTACCGACCTCTAAGAACCAAAAAGGGCATGAGCATGAACTTCCAGAGGTTCGCGCAGAATTCTCGGCTCGGTGTTGGGCCACCCCTGGGCGGCGCCTCCGGTGCCGCCCCTGGCGCGCTCCGCGCGCCAGTGATGGGGGTTTCAGCACCGATCCAAGAAATCCGCGCAAACCTCCTGAAAGTTGATGTTTATGATGTTGTATCTACTTCCATTACCTCCGTCCTTCCTCCTGACTTCAAGAAATGATGAAGCGTCCTGGCCTGCCTGCATGCCCACCGAAAGTGTAACAGTAACATGTTTTGCGCTTATGCGCTAGTAGAAACTTTTTGGTTGACAGAGTTTGGGTTAAAACGCCATTGCTGCGCTGCAAGCGTATCAGCAAGGTTTTTAGAGCACTTTTGCGTTCTGCGGGCATGTTGTGGTAGGCTTCTTGGAACACTTGGACGGTCGGTCCCTGCTAAATTGTTCCTTCCACCCTCCTCTATTCTTATTTCCTATAACTAATTAATTCCTTTCGCGCCCCGAGGCCAGTCGGAAGGGCGGGCCGGGCGTTTCGCTTGAGGCTTCCTCACCGCTCATGATCCTGAAGCTGGAAGGCGTTAGCAATATCACAGATGGAGGGCGGGTCGCTTCCAAAATGTGGCTCACGCCTTGGCGCACCGCACTTTGTTTTACAAAACTGCAAGAGTATGACGGATTCGAGGCGGGCCGGTTTCAGAATGTGGTTTTCCCTTCAGCGCCGCGCACATGCGTTTAACAATTTGCATGAATTCCGTGGAGTGAGGGCGGGCGGTTTTCAAATTGTGGTTCTCGCTTTAGGCCGCGTAGTTTCTTTGTGCAAATTGCCAAAGTTTCACCGATTGAGGGCGGGCCGTTTTCAAAATGCGGTTGTCGCCGAAGCGCCGCCCACAATCGTTATATATCTCTTATAAATTTACATACGTGTGTGTTCTATCTATATATATATATACATACACATATAATTCAAGGATCACGGATTGAAGGCGCTCCGTTTTCAATGTGTGGTGTTCTTTTTAGAGTTGCGTACATTATGTTTGCAAACATGTAAGAGTTTCACGGAAATGGTGAGCCGTTTTCAATATGTGTTTCTCGCCTTAGCGCCGCGCACATTCGCAAAACAAATGGTGCAAGCGGATTGAGGGCGGTCCTTTTTCAAAATGCGGTTCTCCGCGAACAGCCGTCTAAACAGGTGGAAGAGTTTCACGGAGCTCCATGTTTTATGTACCAGAAATTGCTTTTGGGAGCGATTGAAGATTGCCAGGGCGCAGCAGTCACGTTGATTCGCGGTTTTGACGCCCCAGGTGGTGTTCTGGCACGGTTCAGGGTTGTCAAGGCGTTACAGTCAAGTTGGTTCGTGGCGTTGCAGCCCCGAGATTTGTGTCTTGGCACGCTTCAGGAGTTTCAAACGGTTGTCTCCCAACGGGGCACCTCCCTCTGTGGAAACAAATCCCTGTAGGGGTCTATGAAGAGAGAGCTCGGAGGAGAATGCATTCCAACATCGTTGACGAGTCTTGAGTTTGCATCATCATCCTCATCATCATCACCATCGTCATCATCATCATCATCATCATCATCATCATCATCATCATCATCATCATCATCATCATCCTTCTCCTCCTCGTCCTCCTCCTCCTCCTCCTCCTCCTCCTCCTCCTCCTCCTCCTCCTCCTCCTCCCCCTCTTGCTACCCCCCCCCCCCCCGAGGCTGGCCCGCTGACGAGCAGGGCGCCACCACCCCATCTTTCGCTGTGGGGATTCGAGTGGTGTCCAGGTCGAGGCTGGCTCGTCTCGTCTCCGCAGAGCCGTGCGAAGCCTTCGTGTTACCGTTATGGCCTCTTCTTGCCGTCAACCTCTTCCTCTGTTCCCCCCCCCCGCCTCCAACACGCCGTCCTGCCGCCGTGGATGCCTTTTTGTCAGGAATGTGCGCCCGATGGCTTCCAAGATCGCCCCCTCGCCCTCCCCCCATGGTACGCACCGCCATGCTTCCTTTGGGGTGTGAATATCTTTCAGCATATATACAAATTTCTTGGTTTGTGTAGATGCACATATATATAGATTTACATACATACATATATACATATATGTTTATAGATGAATGTGTATATGGACACATTCAGACTTGAGACACGCCGAGAGAGAGAGAACAGATGTTGTAGTTCCTGTTCAGTACAAAAACCGCTCCATGGCCGCGCCACGACCGCCGCAGCAACAACTTCCACAGCAACCGCAGCATCAACAGCATCAACAACAAAGACGATGATCATATCAGCAACACTCGCGTTCGTGTTTAAACCGAACTTTTATTTGCGGGCGTGCCTTCCAGCATGCAGTGTTTTAATAGATTCACTACCGCCCTCTTCGTCTATGCAAGCATCCCTTGGGGGGGCTCTTTTTTCATGACAGCTGTTGGGCAAACCTCGACAGGGTAAGGCAGACAGGACAGGCGGGCAGACCTTGACGGGCGGATCGGACGGGGGGGGGAGTTTCAGGGTCGGGCCGGGCGGGCTGACCTTACTTGCCGCCCCAGGCGGGCGGACCTTGCCGGGCGTGTCGGGTGGGCGGCACAATATTGCGGGCGGGTCCGGTCGGGCGCTGGACCTCGACAAGCGGGTCGGGCGGTCAGCCAGGGAGCCGTTAGCGAGAGCGTAATTTCTTCGCGATTTACAACGGCGTCTCAGGCGCGAGCGGATTCGAGAATGAATTGGAATGGCGCTTCAAGCGGGAAAGCGATCGTTGAAAGGCGAGAGCGCGATTCTTAGATAGATCATGCAGACGTCACAGGTAAGAGGTAAGAGTGATATTCTGTAGCAGTGTGCAAGGAAGTCTCGAGCGAGGGAGCTCTGTTTCAGTAAACTGTGAGGGAGTATCGGGCGAAAGCCATCTTAATGTTTCAACAGCGCTTGAGCCCGCAAAGCGGGAATCACGGCGGGCCCTCAGGGGGAAGTTTGCACGCAGATTTGCAATCAGTGGGTGCGAGGGGTATTGCCTCGACGAGGGTTGGTACCAATCGTTGCAATGTTTCTTAGGGGCGTATTTGCGCCCTTGGGAGATTAGGTGGTCTTGGAGGCCAGCCAAGGGCCGTTGGGGGTCCATGGGGCACGACGCGCGTGAGTGGTGTGCCGAATTGAGGCTCCAAGGAGCCGTCTCGGGGGCCAGCTGAGTGCCCAACATTCGCGAAGCGCGTGAGGGATGTGCCGAATTGAGGTTCCCATCAACGTGGAAGGGCACGTCGCTCGCATGTCGACGTCCCCCGGGGCCCTCGAGGCCCGAATCGCTCATATTTGCACCTGTCCCAAAAGCGTGAGAGCGCAAATCACTGGAGTTCTGACGTGTCCCACTGGAGTATGGGAGAGGAAATGCGTCAGGGGTGCGCCGAATCGAAGCCTTCGCTGCCGTTCAGCCCCATATCACTCGTGTGTGTACCTGCCCCAAAATAGTCTGGGGCGGGAAATGCGGGTGTTCCGAATCGATGCTTTCGTAGCCGTGGGGCGCAGGTCACTTGTATTTGTGCGTGCCCCAGGAGCTGTCACGCACGTGGGCAGCGCAATCCGCTCGTATCTGTCAATGCCCCGACTACTGAAAAGTTGGTGCTGTTGGCAAGCGAGAAGGAGGAGGAGAGGAGGAGGAGGAAAAGAAAAAGGAGGAGGAGGAAAGGAGGAGGAGGAGGATGGGGAGGAGAGGAGGAGGAGGAGGAGGAGGAGGAGGAGGCCTCTCGATGGCTCCTTCAGGTACTCTTGGGGCCAAGTCGGGTCGTGGACACGACGCCTCTTTGGGAGGCGTATTGGAGTCTCTTGGGGGATCTCTTAGGGGTTTCGTGGCGGCATTGTGGGACCTCCTGGGGCTTCTTGGGTGCAACTTGCGAGCGCATTCTGGGCCTTTGGGGGCCTCTTGGGGACCTGCTCACAGTCTCAGGGGGCCGCCTTTAGGAAATGGGCTAGATATGTCAGCTCAGATTCCCCCTCTTGAGGCTCTCTTGGAAGCTTTTGGATCTTGGCCCAACTTGGGCCCGCTTGGGCAGTTCTGGGGCCGTCCAGGGGCACTTTTGGACTGTCTCGGGGCAATCTTGCCTCCTCCTCCGCCTGCGCTTCTGCCTCCGCCTCCGTTTTGGCAGTCGGAAGCCCGAAAAGGCAGTGACGACCCAAATCTTTCAGACGCTGAAAGCAAATCCATTGTTTTGGCTCTCCGAGCCTTCTTCGGGTTCTTTTTGAAGCGCCGCTGGTGCATGTCAGAGGCCGCGTGTATTGTGAGGAAACCGTTTTGGACGTCTTGCAGCGCTCTTGGACTACCTCGGACCCCTATATGAGGAACGAGGCTGCTTTTCCCTATAAGTTACTCTTCGATCTCACATGCAGAGCCGGAGGGAAACCTGAAGACAATGTGTAAAACAATTGAGGAACACTGATCCCCTGGAGCTGCGAGCGCGCGGCGACGTGCTAGTGGACGAGGCGGATGCCTTGTGGTCCTTCGACCGCGTCCAGAAGGGCACGCTCGACCGGCTCGCCCCATGTTGCGACGCGGAGTCCCGAAGCCAGGCGTCCCTGAGCTTGCGGGTAGGCGGGCTGGGCATGAGTCGCGCCCGCGACGCTGCCGCGCCCGCCGTGGTCGCCAGCCGCGCGATGGCGCGGCCGAAGGTACTGCAACTGGACGCCGAGCTTGCGAAGGCTGGCCTTCCCCCATCAGGGCCGATGATCGCTGAGCACGGCGCCGCTGCGCGGAAGGCAGCGGGAATGAGGCGCGCAGAACCTCGACGACGCCGAGGCAGCCCAGGTCGAGCGGCTCGTCGCGGAGGCAGCCGACGCCGCCGCCGCCGCGGCATGGGCGCGCCGCGTGGAGGACGAGGGTGGCGAGGCCGCGGCACCTCGCGCGCAGTGGACGGCGATCGCCGATCGCGGAGGACGAGCGCGCGGCGCCGGCAGGCGGCGCAGATGGGAGGCGCCGCCGTTGGCGGCGGGCCTTCCAGAAAGCAACAGGAGGAGACGGAGAACGCTGGGGAGGTGGCAGCGCCCCGGCTGTGGAGCGAAGAATTCCGGCTTCAGGGAGAATTGCACGGACAAGGGGCGCAACCACAAGGCGCCCAAGACCACGCTGCAGCAGCAGAGGCTTCAGAAGCTGCAGGAGGTAAAGGTCCATTCGGACACGTCCTACATGAGCCTAGAAGAGCTGGACTCGGCGCTTCGCTCCCAAGGGCTCGCGCGCATGGACGAGGAGTTCGACGGGGTGCAAAAGGAAGCAGCGGCATACGCATGGGCGGAAGGGTGGGATCGATATCGCGCGCCCCTCGGCGGAGCACCACTCGAAGGAGGAGACGGTGAAGGAGAACCCCTTGCGGGAAGAGAAGGAGGAGGAAGAGGAGGAGGAGGAGGAGGAGGAGGAGGAGGAGAAGCAGCCGCCCAAGAAGAAGAACCGCTGGAGCAGGCACCCGACACCATCAACCTGAACGCGCAGGCCGACACCGACGACTACCAGAGCCTGGACAAGACGTTCGCGGCTTGGCGTCGAGCGGCAGCTGGACTGGGCGAAGAGTGGCAGTTAGGAGAGGACAGCGGCGACGCAGGTGTGCACGCAGATGGCGGGGAAGGAGAAGAGGAGGAGAGCCTTGAGAGCATCGTGGCCGTCCAGGCCGCTGGCTGTCACTTCGGCATGGCGGAGGTCTTCGACATCTCCTCCGACTCGGAAGAGGCGCAGCCGCCCTTCGGCACCGAGTCGGAGCTCGCGGAGGCCAAGGGCGCAACGGAGGGCATGGACCTGCCGCAGGCACCGCCCTTCGCGACCTTGGGGCCCACGCAGGAGATGGCGAAGGATCCGACGATGAAGAGCTCCGTGGAGCAGTTCAACCAGCAGGAGAAGTTCGACGACGTCAGCGAGCAACAGTTCCTGGCGCTGATCCAGCGCGGCATGGAGCTGATGGACAGCTCCACAAAGACGGAGCGCAACGACTGGATTCAGCAAGCGAAGGCCCTCCTGAAGGGCGGTTTGCTGCGAGGTCGCCTAAAAGTGTCCCCAGGAAATCCTTGGTTTCTCCAGGGACGTTTTTTTGGCGGGGGGCTGTCTCCCCACGCGCTACGCGGGGCATACTGAGCTCCCATTGAGGGGGCTCGGCGTGCCTTGCCTTGGTTTTTTGTTTTCGCTTCGCTTCGGCTCGCGTCGCTCGGTCGCTCGCCCCGCCCGCGCGCGGGGGGATGGCCCCCTTCTTCGGCGCGGCGCGGGCGCGTGGCGGGCCCCCTCGGCCTGCGCGCCAGGGCCCGTCGATTGGGCCGCCTCATCAGAGCCCTCAGAGCCCTTCCCTTGGTGTTGGCACTGTGCAAGCTACTCTTCTGCGATTCGCCATTGGGCCCCCCCCGATCGTGGTGCGCAGTGTTTTCTCCGTCGCGCAGTACGGGGGCCTGGATGATACCGATCTGGGGCGTTTCCGTATCAGTCAGCCTTTCCCTCTTCCCGCGCCCTCTTTTCCTCTTCGCTTCCCGCTTCCCGTTTCCCTCTTCCTGACTGCGCGAGCGCCGGATTGCCTCATGCAGCCCCCGTGGTTCGCTGGGGCCCCGCTCGGAAGGGCCCGTGCGAGCCCGCGGAGCGTGCGCGAGGTAGTGTTTAGTTTGTCGGGGGCGATTTCAGGAGAGCGCCCGCGACCCAGACTGAAGCTTGCGTTTGTCGCCACTGCGGACACTAGTCGTTTTTTCCCCACGGGCTGCGGCCTGATCTCCTCGCGAGCCCTTCCCAACGAAGAGGGTTCCTTCTTCATCAAAGGCCCGACTGCACTCTTCTGGCCCGTTGGGCTGGCGATCGATGGGCCCCCGCTGTCCGCCTTGGCGTTCTCGCTTCGGGACTCGAGGGCGAGGCTCGCGCTCGAGAGCATCGGGTTTTCACCGAAACGCCCCCCCCCCCCCCAAACAGCAACAACGATCCCGCTCGATATGTGTTCAAATTGAACTCCAGGTGGGTGCCGTTGCTCACCGCCGACAACCGACCCTCTAACAAAACCTCACTCCCCGCTTTTTGTAAAGTCGGGAGCGGCATTATTGCCTCTGCGTTGCAGAGCGGCTACAACAGCAACGCTCCCAGGCCATATGTCCGTCTGTTTTTTTGTTGTTTTCCTCTCTCTCTCTCTCGCTCTCTCTCTCTCTCTCTCTCTCTCTCTTTATTGTGTTTGTTTCTCTCTCTCTCTCTGTCTTTCTCTCTCTCTCTCTCTCTCTCTCTCTCTCTGAGCAGCACGCGTGCCCTCGGCGTGGTGGTGCTGCCAAAGCTTCGTGGCACCGCATATGGGAGCGTCTCAGCAACAAAAATCACGATGATTATTCAGCATCGGAGCCTTCCGATTCGCAGGCCCCCGTGACGTGTGATGTGAATCCAGGTTTTCGGCGCTGCGGAGTTCCCCCGACCGACCACGCTCACCCGGAGTTTGCGGACCCACCCGAGGTCGAGGGATCACAGCTTCCCGGTTCGACGCCTCGAAGGATTTGTCGGCCTCGACTTCGGAGCTTCTCGTCGTTTTTGGGAGCGGTTCTGGAGGGCGTTGTTCTTCCGACTTCCGTCGCCGACGTTGCTGCGCGGCTGTTGTGGTGGCCAGGCAGACCCCAGGGACGCCCCAGCGGTAGACGGTCGGGGACGCGTCTGGCAGTTTAGTGGGCAGCGTCCAAGCCGCGCCGCGCTCTGACTTCCTAGCTTTTGAAAGTGTGCCTCGAGGGTGCCAGCGGCCCCGTCGATTATGTCACGGATCTCTATATCCTCTGGCGACGGGGTGGGAGCGAGGTCGGGCTAGTGCGGCTGGGGGGCGGAACTGGGGCTTGGGGTTCCGTATTCAGAGTGCCATCGACGCCAAAGGCGTGGGCAAGACCTCATTCGAATGGGCTGCCCCTCGTGCAGATGTATATAAGTTTCAAAGGGCTTTCTCCACGCCGGGTTTTATGATTCGGGTTGGGAGCGATCACGCGGATCAAACGGCTTCAAAGGCCGCCGAAAGATCCTTGCGTCTCTTCGGCCTGTTCGGACCCCAGGATTGCGATGTTCCAATTTGCTTCAGCCTTGATCACCAGAAAGAATTTCGAGCACCAAGAAATACCGAAGCCAGTGGGTTTTAACGCGTCGGGCCCTGGGAGGTGATAATCGCCCGACACTGTTTCGATATTTTTCTGGGTGTTCGAACTTATTTCTGGGATGTGGTCCTCACGTACGATAGGAGCAACCCATCGCCAGGACCGGCTTCTGGGATGCCCAGTCTTCCCTCATTCGGAGGAGGGCCCGCAGGGCCTTGATGGAGGCTGCCGCCGCCGATCCCGGGAAAGCGCGGCCTGCCGTGGACCCTGTGGAGCGAGCGAGGCGCGGGTCGTTGCTGGATCGGGCCGTGCGAGAGTCGGCGCGCAGTTTCGCGTCCTTCGGCTCGGTGCCGAACGTCTGAGCCTTTGTGCGACAAGGAGGCCCTGCATCCTTTAGGGGGCCACATGCGAACCCTACCCCTACCCCCCATGATTTCTCAGGGGGAGGGTAGGGTCCACTTCGCTCGGGAGCTTCCGAACGAAGTGAACCCCACCCTCCCCCCCAGAAATCGTGGAGGGTCGGGGTAGGGTTCGCATGTGGCCCCCTATCCTTCCCAGAGACTCGCGTTCTGGGATTTGCATCGTTTGTTTGTTGTTCTGCCAGTGCTGTGGCAGGACAGCCACCACTGATGGGCGCCAGTTGGTGCTCGAGCGCCAGGCCCCCACGAGAAAGGGCCTCGAGAATGCAGCTCGAATCCGTACGAGTTGATTCCCCCTCGACTGCGGGGCCTCCGACGGCTTCCGCCGTCCTTCGCGAGGGCAGGGATCGCCGCCTCAGCCGAGCAGAGGGAGCGCGCACGGGTGCGCTCCCGGTGGCGCGGGCGCGCCTGGGGCCGTGCCTTCCGCCCCCGGCAGGCCCAGCCCCGCTCCCCCCCCCCGCGCTCCTTGGCGGGGCCTGCTCCCCGCCCGTCCGTCGATGGGGGTGCAGGGGCCAGGGCCCCCCGGGGGGCGGCCGCACGTTCTGAGTCGCGGGGAGGGGTCGGCCAGGGTTTTCCCCTCCTCTCCTCCTTGTCGTTCCCCCTCTTTGCTGCACGACGCTGCTTGCCAAGACGTTCCAAAACGTGGATCCTCCTCCTCCTCGAAGCCTCGGAGCTGCGGGCGGTTCTTGGTCAAGCCCTGCTGCCCTTGCCCCTGCCCTTGAGGGGCAGGGGCGTGGGCGCCAGGGATAGGAGCGCCCTCCCCTTTTCCCAGTGGAGGGTTTCTCCGAAGGGCTTAGCGTCCTCCTCCTCTCTCCTCCTCCTCTTCCTGCTCCTCCTCGTCCTCCACCTCCTCTTTTTCCTCCTCCCCAGGTTTCCTACGGCCCCGGGGGAATGGCTTTGCTGCGTTCCGCCTCGCAACGCACACCGCCACAGGCATCGGAACGCTCGAGAGATCCATCCACCAAAAGAAGAACCCCATGGAGGCCAGCATGGAGGAGGCATGGCATGGAGGAGGAGGAGGAAAAAGAGGAGGAGGAGGAGGAAGAGGAGGAGGAGGAGGAGGAGGAGGAGGAGGAGGGAGGGAGGGAGGGAGGGAGGGAGGGAGGGAGGGGGAGGGAGGGAGGGAGGGAGGAGGAGGAGGAGGAGGAGGAGGAGGAGGAGGAGGAGGAGGAGGAGGAGGAGGTCTTTACGGCATGGAGGCCGCCGTGGGTTCGTGCTCGCCCGCGCTGCTCGTGCGGCCTGCCCGCTCGCGGCCGCGTGCGCGGCCGCGTGCGCGCGCGTGGCCCGGAGAGGAGCGCCAGCACGGCATCGACCCGGACACGATCTTCGGCGGCAGGGTGCGGAGGGGGCGGCGGGTGGGAGTCGGGGGTGGACAGACCTCCTACCCTGACACGTCGATCGAGGAATTGGCCGTTCTCGGTTCGCGAGAGGGCGTCGCGGCCGTCGTTTTTGCGGGTCCAGGTCCGTCGGTCCCGGTCCCGGGCCGTTTTCATTGAGGGGAGGTTTATTACAGGGAGGTTTGTCCACCGCCGAGGGAAGAGAGCGACGACGACGACGAGGACGTGGGCGATAAGCAGAACTCTAGGCCTCCTGGATGGGGTCGGAGCAGATGGGGTCGGAGGACCGCGCCGCATCGCCAATGCATCGCCGATGCGGCTCGATGTGGAGCCCGTGTTTCCCCACTCCGACGGCGCCGATGCATCGCCAGTGTCGCCGATGCATCGCCGGTGCGTCGGCGATACATCGGCGATACATTGGCGATGCGGCGCGATCCTTCGACCCCATCTACTCGGACCCCATCTAGGAGGCCTCTAGAAGAGGGCGACGACTACGATGAGGACGTGGGCGATAAGCAGACCATAAGCAGGATTCCGCGGGTCCTACTTCTGCCAAGTAGAAGGGACCTGTCCCCACCCCAGAGGCCTCCCCGTGGTCGGGTGCTGGCCCTGCACACTCCGTTCCATCTGCCTGCCTTGTGCAGAAGCTCCGTGGTCCTTGCACTCACTCTTGCAGAGACCTTAGTGGGCCCCGGAAACGGCTGTCTCTTTAAAATGGAAACGGTAACAAACAAGGCGACCAGAAACGGCAAAAACAACAGTTTTGGGAGAAGATTCTCGTGCGGCCGCTCTCCTCTGGGATGGTCCTGTGCGCTCGCACGGACCGTTGGGCGACACACAGCGTGCAGCCGGGCAGGGGAGCACGAGAGACCCCAAGGAGCCCTCGAGACCCAGCCCGGCTAGCACACAAGACACCCCAGGGAGGGAGGGCGGGCGGGAAAGCCGGCCGCGCCGGCGAAAGCGACGCCCCAGGCGACCAGCGCCCGCGGCCCGCAGGAGGGCGCGCGGGCCCGCCAGAGCGTCGCCCCGACGAGGCCGCGCGCGCCCAGGCCACACTGCACAGCCGTTGGCCTGCAGCGTAGCCACGCGGCTCCCACGGGAACACTGGCCGATATTTGCTACCCCGCCTCGGGCCCGAGCGGCAAGGGGAGCGGAGACGCCGAAAGGCAACCGAATCACCGAATCCCCGAATGGGGACAGAAGCGGCCTGTGAGAATCTTCCTCCCCAGAACCAAAGCTTAGGGATGATGAAGATTCTCGTGCGGCCGCTCTCCTCTGGGATGGTCCTGTGCGCTCGCACGGACCGCTGGGCGACACAGCGTGCAGCCGGGCAGGGGAGCACGAGAGACCCCAAGGAGCCCTCGAGACCCAATGCTGGGGCTCTCGGCGACCCGGACCCCAACCCCACTGCTGACGACGAGAGCACAGCAGCACTGATGATGGCACAGACCCGACGATAATTTTCACAGTCTCCACCGCTCACGGCGCGCCGTCGGACGCAGACGAGTCCGAAAACTCCACTGGCCACTCCGCAGCAGTCATGGCGTCTCTGGAGGCGGCAGAGGCGTAGCCGAACGCAGCGACGCCACGCCAGCCTCCACTGTGGAAGAGCGCCGGCACGCCGCCCGCCGCTAAACACTCGTCCGCCCAGCCTCTGCGGAAGGCATGTGTGCCCCACTCGGCCGCGCGCTCGAAGCCGAGCGCCAGCGCCGCTGCTTTCAGCGTGGCCAGAGCCGCCCTGTAGGACAGGCCAGGGAAGAGGCGCCCCCGCCCAGCCCGGCGCTGCAGGACGCACACCCCGCACAGCTGCCGCGACTGGAGAACGCAGATGCACCGCCTCGTTACCACCACTGTCTCTGCGTGCATCTTGCGCTTGTGCAAGTAGATGCACGCCTTGGGCAAGCCCCCGTCGACCGCGAGCGCGACCCTGGAGCGCGGCCCGTCGTGCTCCAGAGGCACCACCTCCGACGCGAAACGGAGACAGAAGTGTCTGGCGACCACGAAGGAATCCGCCACCAGAGGGTCCCGGAGCACCTCCCGCACGTGGCCAGCAACGCTGCGGGTGTCGTGCGCACTGGCCCGCGCTCGAAAGCGGCTCGTGCCGGGCACCGTTTTGGCGGCCCCCCGTGCCAGACTTGAGGTGTCTTCCAAACACCCCAGAGGGACCCGGACCAACCGCAGGGCCGCCCGGACCTGGGCGCAGTACGTCATCAGCGTGTTGCCGTTCTGCACTGCGAAAGCAAAGGCCCCCAGCACGCTGCCTGTCGGCGGCCACGGCGGCACTCCGAGGCCCTCGGCTACCTGGCCCCAAAGCCGCACTGCGGACGCATACTTGTAAGCACTCCGATGCCACCCGCAGAGCCCCCGTCTCAAAAGCTCCTGCGTCGCTGCGAACTCAGACATATTGCCCACCAGTTGCAAAGCACGCTCTCTCGGGTTGCCCCCTGCGCCTCCGTGACGCCGAGCCCACGCCACTTGGAGCTCTTCAGGCGCAACGCGGCCCAGCGTTTGCACTGCGTCGGCCAAGTCCTTGAGCTCCAGGAAAGTCCTCCGAGAGCGAGCTGCGGCCAGGGAGCCAGGAGCAGCAAGGGCAGCTTCAGCTTCGCCCCCTTCTGGCCCTGCGGGCGCGGCGCTTTCCGCCAAAGGCGATGCGACCTCACCGCTCGGGCCGCCGCTGCCCTGGGAGGGCCCTGCCGGCGGCGCCACAGGAGAGCGCCCCCCGGAAGGGAAAATGGCCAAGAATTCACTGGCCAGCTCTCGGAGGCACGGCCAGACGCCCCGAAGTTCCTGCACACTCATGTCGTTGAAGTCATCTCCGGCCACGGCCCCGCCACTGGCGAGAGCGCGCAACACATTGTCAGGCGATGCCGGGTGGTAACGCGGCGGCGTGCGCCGAAGCACCCCCGCGAACCACTGTGCAAGAGCAGGCGGCACCACATCATGGGAGCATGCTTCTTCTGGCGGCTCAGGGTCCGAAGCGCCATCGCCCAGAGCCCACCGCGCGCGTTTGCGGTTGATGAACTCAAGTGCCACGTTGGGCCAAGTTGACTACGGATGACTGCGTGGGAGGCCGTGCGCCGCCGCACGCGGCAAGAAACGCTGACGAAGCAACAACTGCGCACTTTTTCCTTCCTCGCGAATGCATGCCCGTCACCGCCTCTGCTGGCAGAAATCCACTGCCGGCCGAGCCCACTCGAGGCGGGCGAAGCCGCGAGAGACCAGCTGTGCCAACTCCGATGCCTTCTGCTCTGGACGAGTTGGCCAGTCTGCCAAATTTAATGTGAAGGCACGCGAATGCATTTAAAAAGTGGCCGCGGTCTGCTGCAGCAAACCACGCGCCAGCCACCATAGCATTCCAGTCACGCTGGCGGGAGCACCCGCGGAGCAGCGTCCCGAGTGCGACTGTCGAGTCGATAAAAATTACATCGTCGAGCCCCGCTACGCCCTCGGGCAGACTGAAAAACTGCCAGAGCGCACACGCTGCAGCTACTAGCTCCCAGGTGTGGATTTGCTGCTGACGCGGGCAGGCCCACCTCGCAAGCCAGCCCGGCACTGGCGCTGAAGCGAAAAACTTACGCCCGGCCAGCACTGCCACCCAAGCCAGCACGCCTGCTCCCGAGGCGTCAGTGTACACCACCAAACGCGGCTTCACCGATGGCGACAGCGGGACGGCCCTGCTTGGCTGCGAATTGAGGAACCGCTGCCACCACAGGAGCGCAAAGCGCAAACGCTTGGAGATGCGAGTGCTTCTCCCGGCTGAATGCCGGAAGAGCGGCGCCAGATAGACGCGCGCGCCCTTCCCGAAGACTGCTGTGGCCCCCCAGCTGAGCCGGCCGGCCAGCTTCTGCGCGCGCGCTGGCGTTAAACGCTGGTCCCGGAGCACCTCTGCGATTTCCGCCAGCCACTTGGCGCACTTGTCGCTGGGCACGACAAAGTTTAAACACTCTGTGGTTGCGTCCACGGACACACGAACGCCCAGCGCAACAAAACTCAAAGCTGCCGCAACTGCTTTATGTGAATCAAGACGCCAGCCCAGCAAATCCTGGATGACGAATCTAGCTAAAGAGGCGGCGCCTACGGCGCTATCACCCCATTCGCGCGCTTGCTCTGCATCAATGCCGAAAAAATCGCCCACGAAACGTGGATACACGATGCTAAACAAACGCAAAAGTATGGCTTGAAAAGCCGCGCCCACGCGCTGCCAGGCATGGACACTCGCCTTCCCCCCAAAGGGACAGCAGAACAGCTGCAGGAACTGATCCTGCGATACGGACTCCGCCGTCACAGCGGCCGCAAACGGGAGGTGCTCACTATGCAGCGGGAGAGTTTTGTAGGCCTCGCAGTCGTCATCCTTGCGGAAGCGGACGTCCGCTGCGCTGGCTCCACCAGCGACGAGGCACTGCGCCGCCGCCATTAAATCATCGAGAGTTTCGTGGGCGACGCGTTCGGAGACCGTGGTCGCGCCATTGACCCCGGAAGCTGTGAGGTCATCGATTGCGCGGACCTTGAGAGACCACTGTCCATCGCGAAAGCGCCAGCCCTCGTCCACAGCGAACCGAGGGGACAACACCACGCCCGAGAGATCCGATGGCAAATCGCGCCACTCGGCCTGTCCAGCCGCCACTTCCGCCCGGATGCGGGCCTCGAGGCCTTCTGCAACGCGACCGTCCCTTGCGGGTGCGTTTCGGACTCTTTGCAGGATGCTAGCGTTGGCGCCTGGCGCTGCCTCCAACAGCTCCTCTGGCGATGCGTGGCTAACGGCGTCGCTCAAGCACATGGTACCACTCGGGGGGATGTACCCCGCTAGAGGGAAACCCTGCGCGAGCGATGCTGCGAGGTGAGTGTCTGGAGAGCCCGAGGCCTCCAGCATCTCGGAAAACAACGCCAAGTTCTTCTCAGGCCCCAATATGGCACGGACGTGCGCCGGCAAGCGCGCGTACTGGTCGCGCCACGCTAGCGCCGTCACCTGTTGGCGGTGTTTCCAGTATTTCAATTGGCGCCACCTGAACTCGCACAGTGCGCTAGGGTCGGCTGAATGCCAATTAATTGCATTTCTAGACGCCTCAGGGATGGAAAACTCCCCGGTGCACAGCGGCAGGTGCAGCGCCCAGTCTAAATGAGCAAACGGGCCCATGCCCGCTAATCTAACAGGATCACTTAAAAAGTGCTCTACAGCGCCACAGAGAGCAGAGAAGCCTTCGCCGGCGCTAAACACGCCCGAGGCATCGCCGAGGGGTTGTCCCTCTCCCGAAGGCGCCTCGCTGGAGGCAGACGCCGGTTCACTTCACCAGCTGGACCACTTCTTCTCCTGGCCTTTGGTGTGCCACTGCGCAGAAGCTGCACCCTTGCCTTTGGGCGGGCCCCTGGAGCGCTGGGGCGCGGTCGGGGCCGGCCTGGCGGGCTTGCTCTGCTTTCCGCCTTTGTCTGGCTTGCCACCCTTCTGGCCCCCCTTGCCCTGCGCTCCCGGCTTGCCTCCTTGCGAAGGCGCGTGCCCCTGCGACGACGCTGGGCCGCTCGTCTGCTTCGAGTTGGCCGGGTTGACCTCCTCGGGGCGATGCTTGACCTTGCGCGAGGCGTCTTCCAGCACGTCACGATCCAGCCTGCACAGCAAGACCTCGACCTGGTCGCCCTGGCCCTGCTCGAGGGCACGGGCCAGCTTCTGGCGGAGAAGCAGGTCGTAGTAGAACGCAACCCTCGCGCCGCCGCGCCCCTCACACAAGCGCACCAATTGCATCTCGCACGCCCAGTACTGCACGGGCGCGATCACCTTGGAGAGAACCATTCTGGTGCCCCAATCGTGGAGGTGACCGAGAAAATTCGCGAAGCCCATGAAGCCGATCCGCTCCTCTATGGCGCGGGCCCGCTTCGCTTCCCGGGCCTCCGTGACTTTGTCACCGACGGTCCCGTTGCCCACGAGGACGTCCAGTTTAGGCGTTTTCGAAAACCCTGGGCGGAAGTTCGCGAGCAGATCTTCTCCCTCAGGGGAGCCCACCCATTTCCGGCCCTTATCCCTGGCAATCTTCGCCGACGGGAGATTCTCCATCCGGAGAAGAGCCTCTTCTGTGGGGAGTGAATCTCCTTGGACGCACCGGAACCCCACTTCAGCGATCCTGTCCTGCAAGTTGAAGCTCAACGTCCAACGCTTAGCTTCTTTCTCCGCCTTGGCGTTTTGCACCTTGGCCCACTCTGCAATGGCCTGGGCAGTCTGGTCCGCGGCGCTGCTGGAGCCCGGGCGGCCCGACGGGAACTCGCGCATCGCCTTCGTTTGGACCTTGAGGGCCAAGGTGATGTGGGCAGGTTTGAGCTTGAAGTTCCCCCATTGCTCATCTTGGTCCTGGTCGAAAAGAACAGTGTTCACTTGCAAGCTACTGATGACAAAATCACGCATCCTCTCTTCTGCGTAATCAGTGGGCTCCACTGACCCAATGGTCTCGGCGAGCGCCCGGGCCGCGCCCGCGTAGAAGATGAGCGGGTGAGTATCTGCTGGGGCATCCTGCACAGACGCCACGAACTGCACCCACTGAGCTACCTTGTCATTCTCGCTCCCGCCGAAAGCGCCCTGCCCTGCAGCAGAGACCATGGCGCGGACGTCGCTGTCTGCGAAAGCCATATTGAGTGTGGCCCTCAGAATGAGTACTTGGGACACCTTTGCTGGGCCGGAGGGGGCGAGTGAACTCGGCAGCGCCTGTCTTTCTGAGCCATCACAGCAACGGGCGCGTGTAGGAAACATGGGGTAATGTCGACAACGCCTGGACCCTTTGGCAACGCAACTGACACGGCCATTCCCTCTGTGGCACATGGGCGCACCACCGTTTCAGGCTTTCGAGCGCCCCCACCTGCGCCCAGCAGCCGCGCCGGCGAAAGCGACGCCCCAGGCGACCAGCGCCCGCGGCCCGCAGGAGGGCGCGCGGGCCCGCCAGAGCGTCGCCCCGACGAGGCCGCGCGCGCCCAGGCCACACTGCACAGCCGTTGGCCTGCAGCGTAGCCACGCGGCTCCCACGGGAGCACTGGCCGACATTTGCTACCCCGCCTCGGGCCCGGGCGGCAAGGGGAGCGGAGACGCCGAAAGGCAACCGAATCACCGAATCCCCGAATGGGGACAGAAGCGGCCTGTGAGAATCTTCCTCCCCAGAACCAAAGCTTAGAGATGATTTGGAACTGGAACCAGAACAAAAAAACAATAGCGACGGAGTTGGTACAGTAAACGGCAAGACGGAACCGTTAAAAAAACAGATTTGTCGCTCTCAGGGCCCACTAAGGCAGAGGCCCTGAGACCGCCGTTGAACGAGGAGGATGGCAAGAAGGGGTGCCGAGCTCAGCAGACGGGCCCAGCCTTGCAGAGGCCCCCAGGCTCGACGGAGGAGAGAAGCCGCTCAGCTTCGACCAGTCCCTGCCTGCCCCGCCTGCCGCGTACTTAGATCCCCCCTGGCAGCGGCCGCTCTCGCTGGCAGGGGGAACCCGATGGACAGTGACGAATCGGGGCACGACAAATCCCAGGAAGCGCGAACATGGATCCATTCGCCTGGATTCGCGACGGGCCCCGTTTCCGTGCAGAGTCGGCGCGCTTGATTCATATTTAGTCCATCCCAGTGTGTGTGCGTGTGTGTGTGCGTATGTGCGTATGTGTGTGTGTGTGCCCGACAAGTGTCTGAACAAAATCATCACAGCACAGTGAGGGCACGGCCAAAGTGAGCGTTCGAGCCTCGAGGCCGCACCACTTCGGGGGCAACGCGGGGGGGGGGGAAACAGGCTCAGAAGGGGACGCATCGACCCCCATCCGCCCATTCATCGCCGATGGCGGCCTGCTGCCCCGGAGTGTGCGGATTCGCCAACGGGTGGTTTATCGCCGATCCATCGGCGATGCATCGCCAGTACATGCTCGATGTTTCCCTCCCTGAGCCCTGAGCTGGTCCCCCCTGCAGTCAAGACGCTGAAATGGGGACCACTGGGCTCAGGATGGGATCTGGGTTTCGGGCCGCTCCACAGGGTTATGCCGTGGAACCTGTGTGTGGCACCGGCCCGCCGCGGCCAGAACAGCCCCCTCGCTCCTTCTTGCAGTCGGCCCTGATGAGTAGGTCGACCCTGCCAAATCAGGGGCAGTCTTGTGCCCCGTGTCTCGCGACCCGTGCCTCCCACATTTCCGTGGCAGTGTGGCCATCGGAAGAGTCTTGAGTTCTCTCGCGGGTTTTTTCCCATCAAGTCCGACTGCATACGTTCCTTCTAGCAGCACGATGTTTGTAGCGTTGTCTCCCATCTGCCGCTGGCTGCCGGAGGGCGCGGGGGGGGTTCAATCGTTCCTTGTTGCGCGTTCCTGCTGGCAGCACGATGGCCGTGGCTCAGAGCCCCGAATCTTCAAGGGCAACGGAGGTAAGGGCTGACTCGGGATCGTCTTTCGGCGCCCAAGCAGCGTTGCTTCCCACCTGCCGTTGGCCCAAGTATCGGGGCTGGACAGACCTCCTACCCTGACACGTCGATTGAGGAATTGTGCGTTTTCGGTTCGCGAGTGGGCGGCGCGGCCGTCGTTTTTGCGGGTCCAGGTCCGTCGGTCTCGGTCCCAGGCCGTTTTCATTGAGGGGAGGTTTACTAAAGGGAGGTTTGTCCACCGCCGAAAGTAGCGTTGCCTCCCACCTGCCGTTGGCTGCCGCAGGGCGCGGGGAGGTGCCCAGGTGCGACCTGGAGCTCATCCCGAGGGGCCCCGCGTGCCGTGCCGCCGGGCCCCCCTCTCTCGCCTGCCTCAGCGGTCAGTCGGAGGTGGATAGACCTCCTACCCTGACACGTCGATTAGCGAGTTGGCCGTTTTCGGTTCGCGAGAGGGCGTCGCGGCCATCATTTTTGCGGGTCCAGGTCCGTCGGCTTCGGTCCCAGGCCGTTTTCATTAAGGGGAGGTTTACTAAAGGGAGGTTTGTCCACCGCCAAGTCAGGGGCAACGATAGGGGGAGATACGCACAGGGGGGGACGCATCGACCCCCAATCGCCCACTGATCGCCGATGGGGGTCTGTTAGCCCCAACCCGCCCAGGAATGTGCGGATTCACTTTCACTGTCGGGGGCCTATCGCCGATCTGTCGGCGATGTATCGCCGATTCCAGGTCGATGCATCCCCTCTATGCCAGTCAGTCCCCCCCTATCGTTGCCCCTCAGGCACGATTGGCGGGTCGGGCTGATCGGTTGATCTCGGCCACGCGCAGACTTGGCGTCGCTCGGGCGTGTGCTCTTGTTCCCCATGCAGCAGCATCCAGGATCGTCTCGCGAGAAATGAGCGCGCGAGACCGGAAGCTGCACGGGGAATGGATGTCCGCGCAACGGCGAGGAGGGGGGCTGGGGGAGGGGGGGAGGCTCCGCAGAGGCACCCCTGCTTCTCGGAAGGCGCGGGCCATGTCCGTAGATGTGAGGCGGCGCCCTCCAAGAAGCTGCCTCCTTCCACCAGGAAGCCTTCCCCTCGCCCCCTACCCCCCTCCCCCTCCCCCTCCCCCTCCCCCTCCTCCTCCTCCTCCTCCTCCTCCTCCTCCTCCTCCTCCTCCTCCTCCTCCTCCTCCTCCTCCTCCTCCTCCTCCTCCTCCTCCTCCTCCTCCTGTGCGCGCCGCCAAAGATCGGCAGACTGCATGGCCCATTTCGATCCGATCGGTGCCATCCGAGGTCGCTTCCGGCCGGTGCGAGCCGAGTCGATTCCGATGCTGCGGCGATCCAGTGCGGCCCCATGTTTGCATGGGTGGAGCGCGCCCGTTGTGTTGCTGGGGGGGGGATCGGGTTTTGAGCTGATTTCATTTCCCTTTCATTCCCTTCCCCTTCATTCTTCCCTTTCCGTGAAGTCTTCCTGTGAATTGTCTTGTATTATTTATAATTGTCGTGTCTTCCCGTTAAGTGTCTTCTCTTCCCGTTCAGTGTCTTGTCATGTATTCCCGTTCATTGTTTTGTATTCCCGTTAATTGTCTTGTATTCCCTTTATCTGTTACTTTTGACTCCAAGGCCCCAGTGGGTGCGTTCGCATACAGGAGGAGACGGAGGAGGAGGAGGTGGAGGAGGAGGAGAATCTCCGTATTGGCCCTCCATCTCTGGGTTCTGGGAGATCCCGGGAGGTCCCAAATTAACGGGAATTACCGCCCAGGCATTAGAGGGAAAAGTTTGCGGGAGGTCTCGGGAGGTGGGGCCCCAGGAGGTGGGGGCCTTCCCGGTAATTCGTTGTGATTGTTTTCATGTGTATTATTACCGGGAAATTATCGGGAAGAGTTCCCGGGAGGTGGGGTGGGAGGTCCCCGGGAGGTACGTTAATTCTGGACGGTAATCCCCGAACCCTTGGACGGTAATCCCCAGCAATGAAAATCATGTGGGGCGAGGGGTGGGGGGGCTCGGGTTGCTCTTCTGCAGTTGCGCCTCGCCGAGAGCCTCCTCCCGTGCCTCCTCCCGTGGCTCCCCAGGGCTCCTGTAGGCCTTTGAGGTCCATGGGTGTGGTTTTCCTGTAGCCCCACCCCCTCTACGTGTAATATAGGAATATAGGCTAACCATGTAAGACCGAGTATGACTGACGCCCATAATCATTAGTTGGGAAAAATTAGGAATAATCAGCAGGCGGGAATTATATGGAAAATGTAGGGAACTATGGGGAAATTAAAAGGAAATTACTGGCATTAGGAAATTATATTGAAATCCTAGGGAAATGATAGGGAAACTCAAACAGGCAATTATCGGTAACTCAAAACCCGATCCCCCCTCTTGTATCACAACGGGCGCGCTCAATGCATGGGAGTTGCTGTGGGTGCTGGCGCGACCGATCCGATTCGATGTCGATTCTGTGCCGATGCAGCCCGATCCGACGCATGTTCCGAGTCGATCCGATTTCGGGGGCGGCCAAGGGGGGGAGATGGCTAGGGGGGTGTGGATATCATGGCGGGGGCCAGAATATCTCCCCGGATTTCATGGCGCCTCACTTATTTCAATACGTTCCTTGGCCCCCCTGGTCCGCGCACATACCTCGGACCATGATTTGCACACACCCCTCTTGGACGCCCCCCGTTTGACGACCTCGACGATTTCCCGATTCGACGCTGGCTGATCCTGGATTGATTGGCAGGTTTGGTCGTTTGATTGGCAGGCTGGCTTGCTGGCTGGTTGGCAGACTGGCTGGCTGGAGCGTTGGCGGATTCGCGAAGAAGGGAAAGGCATCGATCAAAGGAAGATGGGGCGGGGCTAGGACGAGAAAACCGTTCCAAAGCTTTCCGGAACGCTCTCAGAGCGTTCTGGAATGCTCTGAGAAGGCCACGGCGCCCGAAACATCCTTCAGAGCCGCCGGATCTCAGAGATTCTCGATTTATCTCCACCCAAGTTTTCCTTCGTCCTTGCTGCGTCTTGGGAGACATAAATCCAGAGGATTGCTGCATGAGGGATCGCGGCCGCGTAAGGGCGAGGAGCCCACGAACGGCTCAGGACGGCTAAGTGTGCCCCAGCACGTCCCCGAGATGGTTTAATAGGGCCCGAAGATGAAGCCCCTAAAGGCTTCCAAGAGGCCCCGCACATGCCCCAAAATCCTCAAGACGATCCAGGGTCCAAAAACGGCTCAGAGGCATCCAAAGTTGCCCAACAGGCCCCAGGAGGCTGGCAGAGCTGTACGGTATGTCCAGACATAACCGCAACATGCGCGAAGACAGGCCCGAGCGGCAGCAAGCAGAACCACGCAACCAGAAGAGCAGCTATGATCAGCACCAAGCGGTAACGAGTGGCCAGTAGCCGTCTCTTGCAGAAGCATGAGCTAGTGGTACAAGCAACAGCGCTTCCCGCGATGCTCAGGAAAGTTGAGACGTGTCGCAGGGCACTTAAGAGCTCCCAGTGCGCAGGTCGGGGGTGGGAATGTGCCCGTCTCGGGCCCGAGCGGTCACGCGCGTCTGGAACTACCGACTCTCAGAAATTCCGACTTGAGCAATTCTGTGTTTCTCGGGGGTGGACAGACCTCCTACCCTGACACGTCGATTCAGGAATTTGCCGTTTTCGGTTGCGAGAGGGCGTCGCGGCCGTCATGTTTGCGGGTTCAGGTCCGTCGGTTTCGGTCCCAGGCCGTTTTCACTAAAGGGAGGTTTAGTAAAGGGAGGTTTATCCACTGCCGAGTTTCTGAGTCCTAATGACTTGAGCGCAGCAGACGTCATGGAAGCCAAATCAAGTCGTTGAGATTATGAACAAACGTTTGGCGTTGCAAAGATAGCGTGCGATGTGGTGCCGACGGCCCGCTTATTACACCGTGCACCGAGGAGGCCCTGGCAGGGGTGATAGCGTGCACGGAAGAGGCCCTCGCGGGGGGATCGAGTGTGCAGAAGGGGCCCTCACAGGGGGGTCGCCTAACAGGGATAGCGTACGTTTCGAGGGTCGGTGTTTCACGCCATCGCTGCGACGCCAACCGTAGTTGTTGTTGTTGTTGTTGTTGTTGTTGTTGTTGTTGTTGTTGTTGTTGTTGTTGTTGTTGTTGTTGTTGTTGTTGTTGTTGTTGTTGTTGTTGTGTTGTTGTTGTTGTTGTTGTTGTTGTTGGTTGTTGGTTGTTGTGTTGTGTTGTTGTGTGTTGTTGACGAAACCACTAGCTGGCGGACCGGCCCCCCCCCCCCCCCCCCCCCCCGCGCAACGCAGCGCAACGCAACGCAACGCTCTCCCCGCGCGCCCCCCCGCGGGGCGTACAGGGACCCGTACAGGGTTCTATAGGGCTCCCACAGGACCCCTACAGGGTTCCATAGGATTCCTATAGGACCCCTACACGGTTCCATAGGATTCCTATAGGACCCGTACAGGGTTCCATTGGACTTTTGTAGGAGCCGCACAGGGTTGGATCGGACCCCCATAGGACCCCTACAGGGTTCCATCGGATTCCCATAGGACCCGTGTAGGGTTCCATTGGACTCCTATAGGACCCCTACAGGGTTCCATGGGACTCCCATAGGACCCCTACAGGGTTTCATAGGACTCCCATACGACCCAGACAGGGTTCCTGAAGACTCCCATGGAACCCCGACAGGGTTCCATAGGACTCCCATAGGACCCCTACAGGGCTTCATAGGACTCCCATAGGACCCCTACAGGGATCCATCGGGTTCCCATAGGACCCGGACAGGGTTCCATCGGGTTCCCATAGGACCCGGACAGGGTTCCATGGGACCCCCATAGGACCCGTACAGGGTTCCATCGGACTCCCATACGACCCCTACAGGGTTCCATCGGATTCTCATAGGACCCGTACAGGGTTCCATCGGACTCCCATAGGACCCCTACAGGGATCCATCGGGTGCCCATAGGACCCGTACAGGGTTCCATCGGACTCCTATAGGACCCCTACAGGGTTCCATGGGAGGCCCATAGGACCCCTACAGGGTTTCATAGGACTCCCATACGACCCAGACAGGGTTCCTTAAAACTCCCATGGGACCCCTACAGGGTTCCATAGGACTCCCATCGGACGCCTACAGGGTTTCATAGGACTCCCTTAGGACCCCTACAGGGTTTCATCGGACTCCCATAGGACCCCGACAGGTTTCCATAGGATTCCCATAGGACACGCATAGGATTCCATAGGATTCCCATGGGACCCCTACAGGGGTCCATCTCTTCTTCTTTCTGCTCCTGCGCGTACCGCTTCTTGCGATATCAACATTCGAGGTTATTTTCGTGGTTAGCCGGCTCCCAGGCGTGGCTCGGACCCTGGGGACCTGGGACAGCGGTCCTCGTTATCGCTTGGGCGTGTGCATTGTTCGTCGTTGTCGTCGGAGGGGGAGGAGGAGAGGAGGAGGAGGAGGAGGAGGAGGAGGAGGAGGAGGAGGAGGAGGGGGAGGAGGAGGAGGAGGGGGATGGGGGGAAGGGGGAAGGGGAGGAGGACGAGGAGGATGTAGAGGAGGAGGAGGAGGAGGAGGAGGACGAGCCTCTAGAGGCCTCGGGCCCCGCCTCTCACGGCGCCTCCCCCCAGAACCTCCAGAGCGCCCCATCGGGAACCCAAGCGAGAACAATCCGTCTAGGATCCGTAAGGGATCCCATACAGTCCGTATAGGATCTGTATGGGATCCCATACAGTCCGTATAGGATCCGTAGGGGATCCCATACAGTCCGTATAGGATCCGTAGGGGATCCCATACAGTCCGTCTAGGATCCGTAAGGGATCCCATACAGTCCGTATAGGATCCGTATGGGATCCCATACAGTTCGTATAGGATCCGTAGGGGACCCCATACAGTCCGTATAGGATCCGTATGGGATCCCGTACAGTCCGTATAGACGCCGTATGGGATCCTATACAGTCTGGATAGGATCCGTAGGGGATCCCATACAGTCCGTCTAGGATCCGTATGGGATCCCATACAGTCCGTATAGGATCCGTATGGGATCCCATACAGTCCGTATAGGATCCGTATGGGATCCCATACAGTCCGTATAGACGCCGTATGGGATCCTATACAGTCTGGATAGGATCCGTAGGGGATCCCATACAGTCCGTCTAGGATCCGTAAGGGATCCCATACAGTCCGTATAGGATCCGTAGGGATCCCATACAGTCCGTATAGGATCCGTAGGGGATCCCATACAGTCCGTATAGGATCCGTAGGGGATCCCATACAGTCTATATAGGATCCGTAGGGGATCCCATACAATCCGTATAGGATCCGTATGGGATCCCATACAGTCCGTATAGGATCCGTATGGGATCCCATACAGTCCGTATAGGATCCGTATGGGATCCCATACAGTCCGTATAGGATCCGTATGGGATCCCGTATACAGTCCGTATAGGATCCGTATGGGATCCTATACAGTCCGTATAGGATCCGTAGGGGATCCCATACAGTGGGAGCTCCCGTAGGGTCACACACCCCCCACCTGCCCGCGCAACGGAACACAACGCAACAGAGGCTGCTCATACAGCCGTGTTGCGTTGCGTTGCGTTGCGTTGCGGGGGGGGGGGGGGGGGGGGGTCCTGGTACACCAGTGGGTTGTTTCGCTACATGGAGCAAAACAGCGAACTGGTGGACCGGCTCCGGGTACACCAGCAGGTTGTTTTGCCTTGTTGTTGTTGTTGTTGTTGTTGCGCACTTGCACCAAGAACGAAGCTGATCAGTTGCTGGAGCCTGTTCTCGCAGCCCGACGTCCCCCCAAGGGGGACCAGCGGATTTTCTCCGACGGCCTGTACATCAAGTACGCCAAGGAGGGAGCACGTCGGGGGTGCGTAGACGGGGGGTCATGCCAGGGCGGGGTTGGGGAACGAGCCCGGTTGGATGCCCGAATTCCCTTCTTCCAGGGGCCGCCTGGAGCTGTTTTTCCTCTAACCCCCCCACTTCCGCTCCTACAGTCGGGGCCCGGAAGAAGGAACCCTTTTCGTTGGGGAGGGGCTCCGCGTTCCTCCAGTGTTTCGCAGCTTGCCTAAGGTTTTCCTTCTGTTTTCGATCGGAGATCGAAAGTTTAACTTGTGGAAAAGGGGCCTCGTTCCTTATTCAGGGTTCCTTAGGTCAACGCCCCGACTGCACCCCACCCGTGCGCGCCCCCGAGCACGGGGCCTCCGGGGCGGGCGGGGGTGGCCGAGGCTCTCGCGCTTCTCCCGCCGACGAGGGCTTCGGCCCCGCGCGGCAGCCCAAACCCCCGCTCCTCCTCGAGGGAGAGCGGGTGCGCGTGTGCTGGCGCACGATCAGGCGAGCGAGGACAGTCAGTGGGGCGCTCGGCATCCCAAACCCCACTCCTCCCTCGAGGGAGAGCGGGTGCGCGTGTTGGCGCACGACCAGGCGAGCGAGGACAGTCAGTGGGGTCAGGACGCATGCCGGGAGCTGGAGCAGGACGGGGGCAGGAAGGGGAGGAAGGCGGAGGAGGAGGGAGGGCGGATGGGGAGGGCGAGGAGGAAGGAGCAGTTATCAGCAGCAGGAGTCAGAGTATAGCACGAGCGGGAGAGGAAAGGCTGCGGCAGCGGAAGGCGAAGGAGCGTGGGGCAAGGCAAAGACAGCAAGACCGATCGAGGATTGATATCCCAACAGGGCCGCGCGGGCCGCGGCCGGCATGGGGCATCATCAGGACTCTTGTGCGAGGAGTCGCTCGATCCCGCAATCGCCCGCATTCGTTCTCCCCTTCCTGAGCTCCAAGCCCGCCCTCGGGCGGGGCCAGGACGAGGAGCAATCTAGTCCAGAGCGTTCCGGGACGCTCTCAGAGCGTTCGGGAAAGCTCTGAGAAGGCCGCGGCGCCCGAAACATCCTTCAGAGCCGCCGGATCTCAGAGATTCTCGATGTATCTCGGGTGGGTGATAATAGGGGGTGACCCAAGTGGGGGTGAAGAGAAAGGCCCCAAAGGGGCTCTTTAGGGCTCCTTTTGGGTACCAACTGGCTCCAAAAGGAGCCCTGAAGACCTCCTTTAGGGCTGTTTCCTTCGCCCTCCACTTGGGCCACCCCCCCCTACCACCCGCCCGAGTATCCTCACCCGGTGTTGTCGTCGTCCTAGCTTCGTCTGATCCCTGGGCTCCACGCCTCTCGTCTGCCCCCGTCGGTCTCCCCCCAGTCCGCCCCATCCTCCAGCACGCCCTCCCAGCGCCACTTACCAGGAGTCAGGGCTGGACCTGAACGGTGTTTGGGCGATTATGTGGGCCGTTTTCGTTTCGACTTCGCTTTGCGGGAAAGGCGAATCGAAGACAACACGAGGGAGAACGAAAACAAAACGATTACTCCAACGGAAGGACCCCACATGAGAATCTCTTTAGCTTGCATGGAGGTATCCTCCTGCCCCTTCCCTTCTCCCACCTACTCTTGCCTCCTCGTTCTCCTCCTGTCTGCTCCTCCTCCTGCCTCAACCCCTGCCTCTTCCTCCTCTTCTTGCCTCCTCCACCTCCTCCCCCTCCCCCTCGTTATGCTTCCTCCCCCCCATTCCCCCTGCCCCTCCTGCCTCCTGCCTCCTCCTCCTGCTCTCCCTCTCCCTTCTCCTCCTCCTCCTCCTCCTCCTCCTCATCCCCTGTCCTCCTCCTCTCCCTCTCCCTCATCCGCTTCCTCCTCCTCCTCCTCCTCGTTTCCATATTCCTCCCCCCTCCTCCCCCCCCCTCCTCCTCCTCCTCCTCCTCCTCCTCCTCCTCCTCCTCCTCCTCCTCCTGCCTCCTCCTTAGGCCTCCTGCCCCCTCCTGGGGCCTCCTGGGGCCTCTTGGGGCCTCCTGGAGCCTTCTGGGCCTTCCGGGACCTACTGGGGCCTCCTCGGGCATTCCTCCTCCTCCTTTTCCTCCTCGTCCTTCCTCCCCTCAGCCTCTTCCTCTTCCTGCTTTCCTGTCTCGTCCTGCATCATCCCTCCTCCTTTTCCTGGCAATCCTCCTCCTCCTCGTCCTCGTGCGGAACACGACCCAGAGGAAGCGCACGACGTGCGTCCCAGCCGATACGCGCCGGAGGACGACCCAGAGGAAGCGCGCGCCGGAGGATGACCCGGAGGAACCACGTGAGCTGCGGGACCCATAGGAAGGCTCCCGCCTGACGCGTCCTCACAATTCACTCACAGACGAGGGTCCCGCTTGATACTTCTTCCAAATTCAGACCTGAGGAGCCCAAAAGTGACGACAGTTACAGGAATCCGATGACCCGCTCGGATTAGTAACATGATTTGCGGGCCCCATAGGGAGGGGGCTCCCGCCTGAGACTTGCTCGCAATTCACTGACAAACGAGGCTCCCGCCGGATACTTCCTCCAAATTCAGACCTGAGGAGCCCAAAAGTGACGACAGTTACAGGCATCCGATGACCCGCTCGGATTAATAACATGATCTGCGGGCCCCATAGGAGGGGGCTCCCGCTTGAGACGTCCTCACAATTCACTCACAGACGAGGTTCCCGCTTGATACTTCCTCCAAATTCAGACCTGAGGATCCCAAAAGTGACAACAATTACAGGAATCCGATGACCCGCTCGGATTAGTAACATGATATGCGGGCCCCATAGGGAGGGGGCTCCCGCTTGAGACTTCTTCACAATTCACTCACAGCCGAGGCTCCCGCCGGATACTTCCTCCAAATTCAGACCTGAAGAGCCCAAAAGTGACGACAGTTACAGGAATCCGATGACCCGCTCGGATTAGTAACATATTCTGCGGACCCCATAGGGAGGGGGCTCCCGCCTGAGACTTCCTCACAATTCACTCACAGACGAGGCTCCCGCTTGATACTTCCTCCAAATTCACACTTGAGGAGCCCAAAAGTGACGACAGTTACAGGAATCCGATGACCCGCTCGGATTAATAACATGATCTGCGGGCCCCATACGGAGGGGCTCCCGCGTGACGCGTCTTCACAATTCACTCACAGACGAGGTTCCCGCTTGATACTTTTCCCAATTTCAAACCTGAGGAGCCCAAAAGTGACGACAGTTACAGGAATCCGATGACCCGCTCGGATTAGTAACATGATCTGCGGGCCCCATAGGGAGGTGGCTCCCGCCTGAGACTTGCTCGCAATTCACTGACAAACGAGGCTCCCGCTTGATACTTCCTCCAAATTCAGACCTGAGGAGCCCAAAAGTGACGACAGTTACAGGCATCCGATGACCCGCTCGGATTAATAACATGATCTGCGGGCCCCATAGGGAGGGGGCTCCCGCCTGAGACTTCCTCAGAATTCACTCACAGACGAGGTTCCCTCTTGGTGGATGATGGTGATGGGATGATGACGACGGTGTTAGATGATGATATATGGTTGATGATGATGATGATGATGATGATGATGATGGTGGTGGTGGTGATGATGACGACGTGATGATGATGATGGTGGTGATGATGAGTGCTGATGGTGAGGAATCGTGCGATTATGATGGTAAATGGTGGTGATGATGACGGGGACGAAGTGGTGAGTCAGCGAGTAGTGATGATGATGATGATGATGATCGTTCGATGCCGATGATGGTGAGTGATCGTGCGATGGTGATGCTGATGGTGATGATGATGATGATGATGATGAGTGGGGAGTGATGGTGATGGTGATGATGATGCGGAGGAGGAAGCAAAGAGGAGCAGAGGAGAGGGAGGAGGACGAGAGATCCTGCGCGGAGGGTGTGCAGAGAAAACAAGAACCCCACTTAGGATGTGGGGAAAAACGAAAAGCACCGTTTACAGTGCCGTTTTTTATACATGCTCCGCGTGCGGATCATGCATAACAAATGCAGGGATCTAGGACCAAAAAAAACAACGATGCGTTCCTGCATAAGCGCATTCATGAACGAAGCATGCATAAAAAATCCTATATTTGAAGAAATCCTATGTATTATAAACTGCCCTGTAGGTTCGGCCCTGTCCGTTCGGCACGCCCCCCCAGCGCCACCTTCGGGGGTGGACAGAACCCCCAACAGCGACACGTCGATTAGTGAATTGTCCGTTTGCGGTTCTCGAGAGAGCGCCGTAGCCGATATTTTCCAGGCTTGCGCCCGCCAGGTTTGGGCCTCAGGTCGTTTTCACTAAACCACGTTTTACCAAAGGGGGGTCTGTCCATCCCCGACACCCGCCGGGAGTAGGCGCCGCCCCGCCGGGCCCGCCCGCCTGCGGGGCGAGCGGGCGCGAGCGGGTGGCCCTCCCCTCGGCTTGGTCCCCCCCCCCCCCCCTGGAGGGCCAAGCCTGCCTTTCAGTCGGGCCTGTCCCCCATACAGGGGGATTTTCGACGAAGAACCAAAAATACCCCCAATAATGATCAAAGAACAATCCGAAAATAGTCTGGGGACTACTTTTTGAGTATTTTTTCATTTTTTGGGGGTATACTTTTTTTTTGAATTTTTCATCGAAAATCCCCCTGTAGGGGGACACGCCCGACATAAGCCTACCTGCTTCTGCCAGGAGGGGAAAAGACACAGACACAATTCATCGTCGACTCCCAGGAAAATATGGGATGATATGGGGAAACCTGTGAATTGTGTGTGTATAGTCATTTGTGTGTCCCTGAGGGCCCATTCATTCTAGAAGACCACGACCTGGGGCCGGAGCCAAGTACCGCTCTCACGTCCTAGCCAAAAGCGTCTATGGGCACATTGGGTGCCGTGACGTCCATCGACACTTTCAGGGTGGATACGTCTATGCACACCGCGGCCCTTGCGTTCGGCGCGGTGAAAGGTCGGACAACGGATAGATCCGTCTACGTATGTTATTGTTCTAGAGCACGTCCCACATGGTATTCCAAGCCCCCCCCATACAGTTACACAATTTGGATACGGTAGGTCCATGCTGCGATGGCACGCTGGCGACGCCGACGCAGGCGTTCAAGGTTGAGTTCCGCATAACAGAATGACGCGGAAGCACTCAGGGGCACGGTAACACCACAGGATTTGACGGAATCCAACCTTGAACGATCGGGGCCACGATCGGTTCAAGGTGGAACGATCGACGCAGAGTCAAAAAAATTGCGCGCACCGACGCCGCATGAATTTACCGCATTGTGTTCCTCCCTCCCCTGACTCAGTCCAGAAGACGGCCGATTCTACCCGCGAATTGTTTTTGCATCCAGAATTGGGCAAAAAGGTTGTTTGTCCTTATGGCTTTTGCTCCATCCGACCGTCCTCGGTGTTTCAGAATGGTGTTCCCGCTGCAGCATGGGCCTTATTTTCGGATCGGCGCGTTCAAAATGGCACTCTCGCCCGTGCGTGGGCCACTCTTCTGGATCCAAGTCCTTTCTCATCGTTGTTGCTCGCCTCATTTCCCCTCCTCCACGGTCAACTGGTCCTTATGCTCCTCCCTCTTCCGCTCCAGTTCCTGTTGTTGTTCGTCATCGTCCTTTTCCTGACACGTCCTCTTCCTTCTCATTTTTCTCATCCTCGTGCTGACTCGCCACCTCCCACCGTGCTCGGGTTGCGAGTCCTAGGCCTCCTGGATGTTCGCTGTGATGGCTTGGGGGGCCTCGGGGGCCATTTTGGAGCCTCTTGGGGGCCTCTTGAGGCCTCTTGGGGGTATCTTCGGGCGGAAAGCTCGAATTGTCGGTGCGGGCTCCCCCTCTTGGGCCCCACTTAGAGCCGTCTTGGAGTTATCTTGGTCCGTCTGGGGCGCCCCTTGGGCCGTCTGGGGGCCCTCTTGGTTGGGCCCTCTTGGGGGTCTGTTAGGGCGTCTTGGAGCGATCTTGGGGGCCTCTTGGGCAGTCTTTAGCCCTGTGAGGCTGAGAAGTCGATGTGTTTAAGAAGCACGTTTTCCTGATGGAATTGAACGACTGTTTGTCTTTGGGCCTTCTTGGGAGGCCTCTCTTGAGGCGTCGTTGGCGAATCTTCAGCCGTCTTCGGGCCATCTTGGGCGTCTTTGGCCGATCGTTCGGCGAGTCGGGGCCCTCTTGGACCGTCTTGGGGCCTCTTAGGGCGCTCTTGGCCCGTCGCGTTGGGGCCCTCGTGGCCCGGGGGGCACGCCACAAGCCACGGGAGATTTCAGATTTTTGAGTCTGGGCCCTTTGAATCCTCAGGACTGAGGATTGGACTCCAGGGATTGGGTCAAGGACCTGAGGACGCTCTAACTCGTGCGTCAGGGCACGGTGGCGGATGGACGCAGCTTGCTTCTTCCAGTCGCGCATAACACGATCGGGTCTTTATGTTGGAGTTGCAGGTCGGCCATGACATGCGCCCGCGGATTCAGTAAACAATAGCTCAATGGGAAGGGATGGGAGGGAGGAATAGGATGTCGGCTGTGGCGCGAGCGTATCTAGCTTGGCCTCCTTCCCCTCTGCCTCCTCATCATCCTTCCTCCTCCTCTTCCTCCTCCTCCTGCCACCTCCCACTCATTCATCCCTCTCCTACTTTGCCCTCATCCCTCCTCCTCCTCGTCCTCCTCCTCCTCGTCATCAGAATCATCAGAATCATCATCATCCGCCGCTTCCGCCTCCGCCTCCACCTCCGCCTCCCTCATCATCATGGGACCCATGGCCCAGCTTGCTCTGGCCGTCGGCTCCCGTCGGAGCGGTGTGACCATCAGCACCCTCCATCCCTCCTCCTCTCCTTCATCCTCTATCCCTCCGTCCTCCTTCCCCCCCCCCGTCCTCCCCATCCTCCTCCATCCCTCCATCCCTCCCTCGTCCTCCCCCCCCCCCCTCCCTGCCCCATCCTGCCTCCGCCCCAGCGGGGCCGCCCGGTGGCCTCCGAGCGGCCGCGCGCCGCGGCCCCCCCCTTCGGAGCGGCAGCGGGGGCGCCGCAGGAGCGCCCCGTCCGCAGGCGCGGCTCGTCCGGCGAGTGGCGGCAGGACCGCGCAGGGGAGGGCGGCAGGGGGCCTTCCAGGCTGCCTCTTCCTCCTCCTCCTCCTCCTCCTCCTCCTCCTCCTGCTCCTGCTCCTCCTCCTCCTCCTCCTGCTCCTCCTCCTCCTCCTCCTCCTCCTCCTCCTCCTCCTCCTCCTGCTCCTCCTCCGACGACGACGATTCCTACTCCTCATCTCCTTAATATCCTCCATCTCCTCCTCCTCCTCCTCCACCTCCACCTCCTCCTCCTCCTCCTCCTCCTCCTCCTCCTCCTCCTCCTCCTCCTCCTCCTCCTCCTCCTCCTGGGGTCGGAGTAGAGAAGATGGGGTCGGAGGATCGCGCCGCGTCGGCAATGCATCGGCGATGCAGCGCGCGCCTCGCAGGCACGGTGGCGGATCGAGGGGAAGGATGGGGAAGCAGGAGGGGAGGAGTGAGGAGGGGAGACATGAGGGGAGAGGAATGAGGAGGGGAGACAGGAGGGGAGAGGAGGGGAGACAGGAGGAATGAGCAGGAGGGGAGGAATGAGGAGGGGCAACGGGAGGGAGGGGGGGCGGCGGCGGCGGACGATGGCTGTGTCGTGTAGACGTGCTCTCTCTCTCTCTCTCTCTCTCTGCTCACACGTGGGCCTTTGGGAGCTCACGAGGAGTGGGATGCTCAAGCCTATTCGGGCCACAGGATGGAAGCCAAAAGACCTAGGGGCGATGCGTCGTCTGCGCCTCTCCCTGGCTTCAGCTCGGTTCCGACGGACGCGATCGAGTTGGGCATGTGTGAGGATCGGCGGAGGGGGCGGGTGGAGGAGAGGTGACGGGGACGAAGGGCAAACGAGAGAGGGTGTTAAGGTACTGTGTAGCGTGTAGCCCAGCATTTCATCTGGAAAAAACACGTCAGGCAGTGTGGCAGTTCCGCAACCTGTTTGGCACGAAAAGCATCAGAGGGAGGAGGGGGGGGCAACATCCCCAACTTCGGATGACCATCGCTTTTCCGATCCACCAGCGTGGGCTAGGCCCCGCTAGCCGATTTCCCCCCCTAGATGGGCATACCTGCCGTTCCCTTCGGGTTTCGAGGGGTGTATCCCCAACTGGGGGGGTAATTTGGTAGTGGTCTCGAAGGGGATGGGGATGGGGGTCCGTTGAACGGTACTGATCAGAGGAGGGTCCGGCAGCTGGCCGATCTGGTCGGCTGGCCTCGATTCCTGCGGGGCAGCCGCCGGTCCTGTGCAAAGAGGCTTCTTCGGGGAGGAGGGAGGCTGCCAGCGGGGAGACTCCGGGTCGCCTCGGGTCCTGGGTCTGCGCGGGTTGGATTTTGCGAAATCAGGTGCCTCCCAGAATGTGAGATCCGCCGGTTCGACGGAGGAGGAGGAGGAGGAGAAGGAGGAGAAGGAGGAGGAGAAGGAGGAGGAGAAGGAGGAGGAGGAGCAAGAGCAAGAGCAAGAGCGAAGCGGAAACGAGTCGGTCGAAGCCGACGCGCCCGTGGCAGGGGAAGGCCAGCGGTCTCAGGCTGCGAGCTGGGCCTCCAGCTCGCGGCACTCGGCGGAGGCCAGGCTGAGCGCCTGCCTGGCCCGCTTGGGGCGGCGTCGTCCGCGGCGGGCAGGCCTGCGGCGCTGTCCGCTGCCTGCGCGGCCTTGCCCTTCTTCCGCGGCCTGTCCTTCTTGCCCTTCCCGGGCTCGGGCGCGTCCTCAATCACCGCATCGTCGACGTCCTTCAGCGCGTCGATGCCCCACCAGCTTGCTCTTCATCGCGTCGAGGCCCTCCAGCTTGAGCTCGCAGTCGCCGCGGTCTACCCCCTCGCCACGCATGGGGTCCGCCGTGGTCGACGTCCTGCACGTCGCTGCACTCCAGCTTGCCCTCGCAGCCGCAGTGGTCGACCCCCTCGCCGCACATAGGTCCACCGTGGTACGTCCTTCATCACGTCGATTCCCTCCTGCTTGACCTCGCACTCGCCGTGGTCTACCCCCTAGCCACGCAGGGGTCCGACGAAATCGACGTCCTTCAGCACGTCGCTGCCACGCAGCTTGCCGTGGTCGACGTCCTTCAGCACGTCGATGCCCACCAGCTTGCCCTCGCACTCGGAGCGGTCTACCATGGTCGACGTCGTGCAGCGCGTCGATGCCCTCCAGCTTGCCATCGAAAACGCAGTGGCCTAACCCCTCGCCGCGCAGGGATTCGCCGTGGTCGACGTCCTTCGACACGTCGATGCCATCCAGCTTGCTCTCGCCCTAGCCGTGGCCTACCCCCTCGTCACGCAGGGGCTTGCGGTGGTCGCAGTCCTTCTTCACGTTAAGGCCCTCCAGCTTGCTCTCACCGTCGCAGTGGCCTACCCCTCGCCGCGCAGGGGCACGCTGTAGTCGACGTCCTGCTGCCCGTCGATGCTCTCCAGCTTGCTGAGCCGCGAGGTGCCGTCGACGCCGTCCCCTGCCAGCGACCCGGCGCCCGTCTTGCCGCCGACGCCCTCGAAGATCAGCTCCATCAGCGGCTCGCCCGTGAGGACGCAGCGCGCGGGCTACGACACGGACGTGGAGCAAAGGGCTGCCCCCTCCTCTTCCCACCTCCAGCGGCGACGAAGTCCCGCAGTGGGTCCAGGACGTAGCACTCGTACTCGCTGACTCCGCCCTTCACCTGGCGAGCCCTCGCCGTCTCACAGTCCGCCTCCTCCGCCGGCGCCGCGATGCGCGTGGGCGACGCGAAAGGCCCAGCTGCGGCAGCACCGCGCACCTGGCAGGCTGCAGGGCGCCGCGGCTTCTGCCAGCCGCCCTGCCTGGCATCGTCGACCTCGTCTGCCTTTGGCTGCACCTCTTGGCATCGCCCGGAGGTGTGCATTCTTCCTTCGGCGAGGACCATCGAGGAGCATCCTTGACCATTTGGCGAAAACACCACGCGCGATGCAGAAAAAAACACCGGGAATGGGCGTCCGAGCGATGGCAAGGGCATCGTCAACCTCGCTCCTCCGGGGCCCCGACCGCCGCCGCTGCCGCCCGGACTGGCCGCTCTCCGCGCGCCACGCTCGCGAGGTCGGCGCGGAGGGCCAGGATGGCGCCGAGCGCCTCCGGCGCCTGCGGTCGGCCCGGATCTCGGAGGTTCACAGACCTCCTATCTCAGGAGGGAAAAAACACACAGACACAATCAATCGTCGATTCCCAGGAAAATATTGGAAAATATGGGAAGTGGGGGGGAAGACAGAAACCCAGAAGATATGGGAAAATATTGGGAATATGTTTTATTTGTGTGTATTTATTTGTGTGTCCTGGGGCCCCTTCACTACCCTGACACGCCGATTAAGGAATCGGACGTGTTCGGTTCGCGAGAGGGCGTCGCGGCCGTCATTTTTGCGGGTCTGGGTCCGTCGGTTTCGGCCCTAGGCCGTTTTCACGAAAGGGAAGCTTGCTAAAGGGACGTCTGTCCACCGCCGATGATCCGCCCACCTGTGGACGACCTCCAGAACCGGCGGCGGGCCCGAGGGCGCCTGCCAGCATGGCGCCCCGCACGAGCACCGGCGGCCGCCGCAGGGGAGGGCCCACGTCAGCAGCTCATTGGTTGCTCTGCTCCGCCTCAGTCGGGGCCCGCCACGGCGCACAGCGCGGCGGCGGAACCCGTCGTCAGGAACACCTCGCAAAGGTGCGGAGCGCGGCTCAAAAGCCGCGGCGCAGTTGAGCCAGAACTGTTCTTGCAAGGAGGAAGAGGAAGAGGAGGAGGAGGAGGAGGAGGAGGAGGAGGAGGAGGGTGAGAAGGAAGAGGAGGAGCCTCCTCCTTTTTCTCGCACATCATCTGACACGCAAGCTGGGGCCTCATGTTCGTCGTCAGATTCCCCTGGCACGGCACTCTGAACAGCATTCAACAGGGCCCCAATATAGGGCCTCACGCATCTTGATCGGACGCGTATCTTCGGCACCGGTTTTGCATGTCTTGTTTTCATTTTCCCTAAGACATTGCAGTATATCCTTTTGCGGTGGCAACAGTTACCCTGTCCGTACTAGGAAGTAGTCCATGCAGACAGGCGCAATGCTAGGATCTTGATCGGTGCCCGTCCTACGGTCTCGGGCGGGACGTTGTTTAGAGTACACTGGCGTGCTGATTATTGAGTCTCATTCGAGTGCCCTCAACGGGAGCCAAAGGAAAGTTGCTCAATGCCTGGGCTCTCCAAACCGCTGGCTGTGGCTGTTCCAGCAGCCCACATGTTCCTGCACGCATGTGCTCGACAAGGAGGAGGAGGAGGAGGAGGAGGAGGAGGAGGAGGAGAAGGAGGAGGAGGAGGAGGAGGGAGTGGAGGAGCTTACATTTCCCTTACACTTCCAGTGTCCACTGGATCGGCCTGTGTCATCGTATACAGAGGTGCTCCCCCGTGGTGAGAGATTGCCTTGCACGTGGGGGCGGGGCCTCCCTCTGACCACCCGGCCGCACACGAAGTCTCGCAGGAGGGAGGGCACCAGACGTCCACACACGTCGTGCACGTGTGTGTACCGCCCTTCTCTCAAACGTCGCCACGCGTGCGAGGTCGTATCGTATGGGATCTGTCGTGTCGTCGGTAGAGAGCACCGTGCATACGACACGTGCGCGTTCTCTCGTGTCCTCGATGTGGCTGTGAACATCCCCCCTCCTTACGCTGGCCACAGAACAGATTCTGGGTGAACACTTCGGGACGTCTGATACGCCATGGAATTTGCTGGGAGGCCACACCTTGAAAGTCCTGAACGCGGAACAAGTAGAGGTGTTCTTGGGCCCTGTCGATGAGGGCCTCATTGGGTGGGGTCCGTTGGGGAGCCCATTCTCTCTTTGTTTGTCCTCTCCCTCTCTCTCTCTCTCCCCTCTTTATATATATTTATATATAGACATGCTCACATAATTACAAACACACAGGTATACATGCATACTTACATGCATGCACGAATCTGTACCTACCTACGTACATACCTACACACATACGTACGTACATACATGCATGCAGGTAGACATACATGCACATATACATACGCACACACATATCTACATATATATATATATATATACAAAAAATGCGTGCGCATATACAGCCATGCAGTCATACATTCATACATATATCCAGACATGCATACATGCATAAACAGCCGTGCATACATGCATGAATACATACAGGCATACAAGCATACGTACGTACGTATTTACAGTCATACATGTATGCAGTCATACAGTCATCCAGACATATACTCATACACATGTACATACAAACATGTATGCATACGGCCATACCTGCATCGATGCATACATGTATATACATGTAAATATACATACATGGCATGCATATACGCTGTAAGACCTGGATAGCCAGAGTAGCTAGTTCGTATAATAATTGACGCAGGGTGTCTCTGGTCCCGTCCTGTTCTGGATGCGAGAAGCCCTAGCAGGTTCCCACAGCATAAGGACGTTGGGCTGGAATTGCTGGGTAAGCAGCTCTCCATCTGTCCAGCCCCACCTTGGGCCGGTCGGCACACTCGCGTCTGTCTTCGCTCTGCCGCCTCCACGGCGTCTGGAGCTGCAAGCTGCGCTCCGAGCAAAGATGAGAAGGACGGCAACGTGTTGCGTCGACTGCGAGGGGAGCCCCGCAGCTGTGGTCTCGCGGCGAGTCGCGTGGAGAACGGTCTGCACACCGCTGGTGCCCCCCATCCTCCGCCCTCCTCCTTCGTTCTCTTCCTCCTCCTCCTCCTGCTCCTACTCCTCTTCCTGCTCCTCCTCATCCCTCCTCCTGCTCCTCCTGCTCCTCCTACTCCTGCTCCTCCTCCCTCCTCCTCCTCCTGCTCCTCCTCCTCCTCCTCCTCCTCCTCTTCCTCCTCCTCCTCCTGCTCCTGCTCCTCCTCCTCCTCCTCCTCCTCCTCCTCATCCCTCCTCCGCTGCCTTCCACACGTTACAGAAAGGGGGGAAAGAAGGAGGGAACGGGGGAGAGGATGGCCTTCCTGTTGCCTACCTTTGGACGGATCGAAAGGTCAGCCTCAAATCGTCGGAGGGAGGAGGGAAGGAGGAGGGAGGCCTCGAATCGAAGAGTCGAAGGGAGGAGGGAAGGAGGGAGGGGGGCCTCGAATCGAAGAACCTTTCGGGGCTCCGCGTGGCTTTCGTGGATCGGCGCTGGGCCCCGGTAACAGTGCCTCTGGCGGGCCCCTCGCGCGCTCCGTGCCCTGGGGAGGGGGGTCCATCGCCGTTCCAAGAAACTCTGCGCGGGGCTCCGAAAGGTAACGTTTGTGCAGTGGTTCTCCTGCTATCCGAGCGGCCTCGAACCCTGCGTCACCCGTGGGGTGGAGGGGAAGATAGTTGCGCTTCGCGCGTCGCGGTCTGGGCGAGAGAATGCCTGCCTTTCTCCAAGGTGTCGGCGCGAGAGCGCGAGAGTAATCGCGCATCGCGGGGCGCGTGGCGCGACTTTGCTGACGTGGGAACAGCGGGGGGCCTTTGAAGACCTCCAGAGGCTTCTGGGGTGTAGGGCGGATGTTGAATCTACACTCTCATTACGTGCCCTGAGGTTTCGGAAAGGAGGGAGAACAGTAAGGGGCGGAGGAGGAGGAGGAGGAGGAGGAGGAGGAGGAGTTAGAGGTGGTTGTTGAAGAACTGGCGAGACAAAGGGGGTCATGCGACATGGGGAGGGGAACGCCCAACCCCCCCTCCAGGACAGGCTGACCACGCAGGAGGTCACCTGGTACAAGCGCAGGATGGGGCACACCGTCTGAGCCGACCCGGGCACAACGCATAGGCCAACGTACCCATTGAGTTGGCGATGCCAGCGCCGAAAAGGAGAGCATCCTCCTCCTCCTCCTCCTCCTCCTCCTCCTCCTCCTCCTCCTCCTCCTCCTCCTCCTCCTCCTCCTCCTCCTCCTCCTGCTCCTCCTCCCTCCTCGGCCGCGGGGCGCCCTGTTCTCGGGCCGGACGAAAGGGGGGGGATAGGGCAAGGGGGGAGAGGAGCGCTGAAAAGGAGAGGATGCTCTCAGCGTTGAGCGCACACGCTCAACTTACACTGGTTGGTTCAGTTGCTGCTCCCTGCCAGCGGTGGCAGTGAAGATGCTGCGATGCCCAGCGTTTCGCGACCATCGGGCAAAACGATTACTGTGTCGATTCGGGGCCTCTCTGATGCGATGTTTGAATAGTTCTGGGCCATATCGGGTTCGGTGCGGCGTCCTCTTGGCTTATGCAAAGCATGATCACTGGTTTTGGCCGAGTCTTTGGTGCAAGAATTGACGAATTTGATGTTGAACGTGTGCTCAAGATGGGTGTTCCTTGGGTGACGCGATACGAGTGTACTTGTTGTGCACGAACACTGTGCACTTGAGTCTGATGGTTGGCGTTTCAAACTCCGTAGGTACTATCACTGCGCCTCAGATGATAGTAAACAAGGACCACCGAACAAACACGCGGCATCATCGCGCAATTTCTAGACTTCGCGGATCCCCTCCAGCCCGTACGAGCATAATACCCAGGCGATTTGTTTTCTACAGGGAAGCGTAAGAGCAAGCAGAGGAACAATGATGGTGGCAGCCGTTAGACTGGAATCAGCTTGGATAGACCCACGAGTCAACCAAAATGGATTCGCTGGTCTTTTAGTACGAAAGTTTCGTGGCAGTTTGTTTGGGCCATGTTGGTTAACGTTTAGGGCCTTTGGGACTTTCTTGGCTCCCTTGGGGTCATTTGGGGAGCATGCGCGCGCGACACCGCGCGCGTGCGCAGGGACTACATTGGAGGCCCACCTTGCGCCAGAAAAGTCGAGTGGCGATATTGTGGCGCTATTGGAGCCGCCTTGGGCCCCTCTTGGCACCCGTGGCCCGTCTTGGAGCCATCTTGAGGCTTTGGGAGCTCATCGGAAACAAAAGGCGAGAATGCACACACAACTTACATGGCTTCCTCACATTGGGAGAAGGATTTGGGCTCCGTGGCCACTCGGAACCGGCCTGGAGGGAACAGTGCCCGCGTAACGGGCGACGCGCCCGCGTCGCCCGTTACGGCTTGATGATGTGCTTGTTTTGCGCAAGCACTAGATACAAACAGCGGGACGCCGCATGTTGTTCGGCTTTCCTTTTCACTTGATAGTTTGGGTTCTGTTTCTGGACGGTCCCCTGTTCTATGGTCACGAGAAAGCATGCCGAACCCCCAAAAAAGTACCGAAACTCAATGGTTTTCACGTTTCGGGCCCTGGGAGACACTCGCCCGACATTGTTTCGACACTGTTTCGAAACTTTTCCAGGCGCTCGAAATTATTTTTGGGATGCACCAAAAAGGCGCAGAGAGTTGGGGGCAACGTGCGCAGGGACTGCGCCTAGCAAGAGGAGGAGGACGCGGAAGAGGAGCAGGGGGGAAGGGGGAGGGGAGAGGAGGAGGAAGGAAGGATGAGGAGGAGGAGGAGGATGAGGAGGAGGTTTCGCCTGCTTGATCCCCTTGATCGTGTGCGTGCCAGCGGAGGCGACTGTAAGGAGCCCACCCATCCATCCCCTAGGGCCTTCCTGGCCGCCATCGGCCAGCCTCTTGAGTTGCGGACCTGATTGGCGCACCGAACTTGTAGCTGGGGACGTTTGGCCCGAGCTATCTTCCCCCACGGTTGGTTCGCGCACGAGCGCACCTTGTCACAAGTAGCTGAAGATGCGTCGCCCCCGCCTTGCCCGAATTGATCCCTGCTGACTTCAGCGCTGTAGCTGGCATGGGGCTCCACCTGCGCTGTCAGCTGCTCGCTTCGCACGACGCAGGCGACTGCAAGAATTATCAGCCCATCGAGAAATGATCGTGACGTCTCAACATAATGTCGTCCTCAGGCTACTTCAAGAAGGAGGTTCCAAATCACAGACCGCAAAGCGTGAATCCCAAATTCCGGAACCTTGAATCACACATTCCGGAAATTTGAGCCACAGATGCTGAAATTTAGAATCACATTCCTGAACCGTGCCAGTTTGCAGTGAGTGAAATGTGTCAGTTCGCGGACAGTTTCCACGTGTCAGTTTCTGTGAATGTAATGTCCATTTGAAATATTATCTCGGATAACCAGGGATGGTGCAACAATACGGTAGTCGAGGATTGGGATGTCTGGACCAGAATGGTCGCGTAAAAAGCATTGAAGCCGAGATCGCAGAAAACAGTATAGTTCCGACATTGTTGGCGAAAGTATTCCAGGTCAGTATTTCCCCCCATACGCAGTCCAGCGTGGGACATGCACGCCGGGAAGACGAAAAAAAAGAGGAGGGAGATAACAATGAAGATGGTCTTATCGAAACGAATTCCGCATATTAGTTTGTATTATCCGTGGTAGTCACACGACTGATGAAATTAAAGTGGCTTTAAGTCAGCGCGCACGCGCCACGCTGCCCGTATCTTCACCAGCCCACCTAGAAAAATGTGTTTCTTCCGCCGACACCAGACCTAAGACTGCACGCAGAGCGCGGGGTGAAATGCCGGAGGTGAACAGCATCGCGGGTACAACAGCGTAGCCCAAAGCAGGGTAAGAGGAGGAGGAGGAGGAGGAGAGTTATTTTACGGGCACACGGGTTCGACCTGCGTGATAGGCAGGTCGGCGTGCTCGTGCACCACAGCATGGACTATTGATTTTTGTAGGGCTATTCCCAGAATGCCCCACCATCGCTGCAATAGTCCCATTGTCGTGCTTCGGCATATGCGCATTGGCAAATCCCGGCAGCGCTTGCGCGCAAAAGATGGCATTAAGGTTATCGGTAGAATTCCCTATAATGATTGCATCCCGTATTGTGTTGGCTATCTTTAGGTTGGAAGGTGTTTTCCGATTTTAGGTCGAAATGTCTTCTTCCATTTCAAAGTTGCGAGTACGAGCTCAGCATATCTTTGCGTGTTTTGCTGCAGCAGAACGAAGGGGAGTTGAGTGCAATGTGCAAGGATAGGAGAGAAAGACCGACTTGGATTGATATTGTTGCTGGAGCACATCCCCCGAACCATTTGTAACAGGCAACCCACCCATTATTGGGTGAATGGCAACGAAGAACGAAGCAGCCATACTCCAAATGCGCGAGGGAAAAGAAAGAAGGGGCGACGCGCCAAACGCGTGCAGCAGCAGACGACTATACGCCAAACGCGTCAAAGGGCCTGGATGCGCCAAGTGCGCGCCGGGAGCGCGCAAGGAGGGGAAAGAAGAGGACGACGAAGGGCAAACGATTACACGCCAAACGCGTGCCCAAGTGGCTGGATGCGCCAAATGCGCGCCGCGAGGGCGAGAGGGGGGGGGGAAGATGATGAAACATGTGTTTTATCTGCCAAGACGCACAAGCCATGCAATGCATATCACAAGTATCCGTCTTCTCCACATCCAGTTGGCCTGGAAAGTTTGATGTTGAAATTAAGTCATGTATTCTTGTCTCGGAGCGTGCCCATTCAAGCTCCATTAAGCTGCCTATTCTCTTGTAGGTCTCCCCCGCGCACGTTTGCGAGTCAGCGTAACCGACATGAGACTATCAGGTTGAAACGTGGCCGCACGTAGCGCGTGGGTGTTAGGGCTCCGGCCAATCTTCCAAATAGCTGAACTTATTGACACAGTAGTTGCCATGTGAAAGGTAGATGTATGGCTACTCTCCAGATCTAGACATGAAGGGATGGGGGATATTCAATATTTTCCTGAGGCATTTCGCTTGGAAGCTGTCCATCCGTAGTTTCTCAGTTTTGTTAAACCATGCCGAACTGAGGTCACCATCGCTTGGTAGATTCTTATTTCATTTTAACGTTCATTGAAATGTGTTTCCATATTTTCGCAAATCTGCAGTATTCCCCCCCCAAGAAAATGTGCCCCAATCGTTTGTTGAATTCTGCATATGTGTCTAATATTTTTGATTGTACCCCCAGGTACACCGTCTTTTGCCTGTATTTCTTCTCCGCAAGGCGTATAGTAGAAGTTCATCTGGTCGTTTACTTGCACAATTTGAAATTTATCCTAGTGCAGCTCCACGTTATTTGGCTCAAACGCTATTTTCCCAAAGTTTCGGTACTTTGCTTGTTCGTTGTTAAAGAGGTTTGTCGATAATGGTTGTGTTGTAGGGCGGGGAAAAAAGCATGTGCATAACCACGGCCACAAATTCGATTTTCGCAATGGGACATTGCATGATTGCGACAATTGGCCTTGCGCAGTGGCGAAATATTGCATTAATAAATCCGATATGCGACCTACCGGGCATGCACAAATACACACCCACATGTACGCACCTCTTTTTGTTGACTAATGCCCATTATTTGCGACGCAGATTTTCTTTTTAATTTATATGTTTTTGCCCAGACACGCGATAGAATGCCAAATTTCCGAAGAATCGCATTACGAAATTGATTGAATCAAACGCAGCGCATCATCGTCCCACGTATCGCATCTGCTGCGCCGTGCTCTTACGAAGCCAAATCGGGTTGCATCGAGTTGGATTTTTGCGCCAGTATCGTGCAATCCTAATATCATAAAAATTTGCCGCATGTTGAATGCTACGTAGACAAGACTGGTTCGTATGTAGTTGTCGCAGATGTGCAGGAATTTTTTGCTTTTATACAGCGCGGCCAATCTTCGCACTTTTGCGCGTTGCACATATTCTCGCAAAGTCATTATATATTTCCGGTGTTTGGGCCGGCTGGAATGCCGTTCGTTTCAGCAGTCTTCATTCATTTTCTGGCTTTTGTTAGGTAATTTTCCCTAGTTATTGCGTTATGATTGCACCGGCAGCAAGGGTTTCCATAATTGAACACGGGTTTCCATAATTTTTTACGCTTCGCGTATCCCCACCAGCCCATCTCACAAGAGCAGATTTTGCGAAGCATGCCGAC